ACAGGAAGGATCTAGGCAAAGTCCTCTTCTAACAGCACTAGAATACTTCTAAATAGAGAGTTGTTCTTTATAATATTTTATAGTGTATAGTTAACTACTTTAAAGTAGTACTAGTGCTATATTAGAACTTTATCTTATATAATTAAATCTGTCTAATAAATAAGGTCTGCAGCAGGAGAGTCTATATGCATAAAGCAGGTAGATCTGTTTTTAATATTAATAAGTATCTTAAACTAATAATAAGCAGTGCAGCTGCTAAGAAGAAGGAGCACAGTAATGCTAGATAATACTACGCACAAAACAATCTTGCGTTAGGTCTAAAAATAAGTGTAAATAGTTTTATATAAAAAAGTCTTTCTAGTTCTACTAAAGCCTTAAATAAAGTAGCAACTAAATTATAGCATAGTAAAAACAAACTAAGTAATAGCATAAAAAACTTTTAGTTAGGCCTTATTTAGCTTATTATATGTATTAGTATAATTAAGATTTTACTTTATAGTGTTATAATTAAGCTGCTTAGCAACTAATAGATTAATAGCCTCCTGCACTTAATATCTCTATAGCATAGGCATGTTAAAATTAGAAAGGTTTTTTTTAAATAACTTAAGCATAGCCTAGTTAATTAGCTACAGGCATAGATCTTTTATAAGATTAGTAATGCTAAGGGGCAACACTATTTATTTTAAGTAAAGAGGCAGGTTATTAGATAAATGTTAGAAGAACTTATCTTATAACACTATAGAATTACCTACATTTCTAAAAACTAGGGCCTAAAAGAAGATGTAATATAACTTAAAAGTAAGTGCTAAATGCTAAAGCTTAAAAAATATATACTACTATAATCTATTTTTAACTAAAAAATTAAAAGCTAAATAAGCGTCTTTAAAAGTAAGTTAGATCTAACTATTAACTATATAAAAATATTTAAAACTAATTATGCCTAGAATTTATATAAAAAGCATCTTAAGATAGAAACGCTTTTTAGAGAAAAAACTATAGAAGTAGACATAACTAATAAAGTACTAATTATATTAGAACTAAGTCTATTTACTACTATCTTTCTCTAAATTCTAACAATACTAGGTTAGAAAGTCTTAGTAAAGAAGATTACACTTATTTATATAAAGGGCATTATACTTTAACTATTTTATTAATAATAATCTTTTTTATTTAACTGCAATCTCTACCTATTTAGCACTATCCTTGTTATAAAAGGTAACTATATGCTATTCTAGTAAATGCACTGCTAATTAAATAATAAAAGGCTTTTTTTTATAAACTTTAAACTCTATTAATTACTAAACAGCCTTAGTTAGTCTAATATAGCGCATGTTTAGATACTAGGCAACTTTGTCCTTTTACTAGATATAGATAACAACCTAATTAGTGCCCTTATAAATATACTTATGTATATATTTAACTAACTTTATAGAGGCATAGACCTCTACATTAACATGTGTGTTATACTTACATAAAAAGTATAGACTATAAGGCACTACTTAGTAATTATTAACTATAACATTTTAACTACAACACTTTACAACCTAAGTTAAACTAGGTTAACGCTAATATATAGAATAACTATCTCTACTAACTAGAGTTTTATTAGTGTATTCCTTTAAAAATTGCTTCTAACAGGTTGCTTAGAGAGAACGCTCTATAGTTTGCATATAAGGCATGCTAGAATTTAAAGTTCTATATAGCTTATAAACTATAGTAGTTTTAATAATATTACTTAGAACTTTATTTAGATTTTAAGCTTTTATAAAAAGCTTAGCCTATATAACCTAATTAATAAAGTTTAGATTAAAGAACTAATTATAGTAATTATAACATAAAAAAAGTAAAATGTAAGTATAAGGTAAACCTTACTTTTAGTACTTAATAGTATACATAATACTAGTATACTAGCTAAATACATAGTTAGTCTAGAGGTCTGCAAGGAGGGAGTTAAGACGCAGCTTAAAAACACGCGCGACTAGATCTAGCTAATCTAATAGCTAAAAGGATGTACTAATCTCCTACTCTAACTCTAGCTATTTAGGATTAGCAGTAAAAGTAATAAATAAAGTAAGTTAACTAAGCTTTTAAATAATAGCTATAAAGTTTTAATAACACTATGTAATAAAGTAACTGCTGCTAATGTAACTTAAAAAAAGAATAGTCTAAATTCTAACTAAATTAGCCTAAAAGTTGTCTTAATTTAATGCATTACATACTTCTTAATATAGATTAGCATGTAACTGTTTTTAATTTACTATAATTTACTATAACTTTCTTTATTTACACTAAGCCTAGCAGTTAATAATAAATTACTAGAATAATAGACTATAATTAAAAGGCATAATAAAACTACTACGCTAAAAAAATAGATAGAATTAGTAATACTTAGAATTAGTTAGAGTATCTTAGGTGTAAGACATGCGTAAAGTACACAGCTATAAACTATAGTAAAACCTAAAAGTACTCTATAAAAACATTAAAACATAGTAAAGAGGCTAATATACTACATATGTATGTTTAATTTTTTAGTATAAAGACTAACAGTGTCTTAGATTAGAGCTAAGTTAGTAGTAAAAAATAAAATCTTAGTTATAATTTTTAACTAGCTTATTATAGACTAAAGTAGTAATCTTCTTAGTAATAAGTAGGTTCTTTTAATGTTAATTAGCTCTAGCCTGCATAATTAACTATAGTTATAGATTAAAAGTAATTTATAATTCTTTATCTTACTTATAAGCTTACTATAACTACTTATGTGCAGTTTTATATATCTTAATTTAAGAATTATTATAATCTGTCTTAACTATCTGTAGTAGCTGTGTAAGTATAGTTAAATTAAGACTACTATTAGCCTAATGCCCTATATACACACTATTAGCCTAGGCAGGATTATAAAAGTATAGCTGTGCGTAGAAGGAAACGTCCCCCTTAGTAGGCTCTAATAGGCTGTGCATATAGTACATCTTCTTTATAATTTAAAAAACTTTTACGCCTATGCTACACACACTTTAATCTATTTATTTGTAGTTAGCTAATGTAAAAGCTAAGGCTACATTATATAATTAAAGATGCTTTTAAAAAGATCTGCTAAGTAAGTGCCTACTCTATAAAAGACAACACAGAAATAAAAGTAGATCTAGAAAGGTTAAAAAGTTAATATTACCTATTAGGTAATATATAAAGTACTAAGGAGAATCTGCCTAACTCTTATTAACCTGCTTTTTAAGCTAGTAAAAGGCACTATAGTTAGAATAGCTGCTTATAAGATTCTGCATTAGACTAAAGTTAATAAAAGTAATATAGTTTATAGTAGTAATAATATATGCCTTTAGCAAATTATCTTATAAAAGACTAGCCCTTAGTTGCTCCTAATCTCTATGCATAGATAGAGATAAGGTAGGCTAATTTAGAGTATATTAAAAAGGTAGAAATTAGACAGGTCTTTATAAAGTTAGCTATATATTATAATAATGTATATATATAAATAGTGTAGAAGGAGTAGAAGTTAGTGTAAAAGACTTAAAAAAAGTTAATTATATATTATAATAAATCTAGATAAATAGTGTAGAAGAAGTAAAAGAAAGCATAAAAGTCTTAAAAGAGTTTTAATATGTATAAAATAATTAATTAAGCACTAGTGTTTTACTTAATGTAGTGTCACGCCTAGCATGTGCAGGTTAGCCTTAGCATAGACCTAATTAGACTATAGTAGCGCAAGCTTAAACATGTTTTAAGGGTTATATATTAGAGTTAACATTAGCTAATAGCTAACGCGCCTAGATAAAACTAGATATAAGCACTAAAAAATATAATAATTATAATAAAGTAACATACTACACAGCTATGTCTGTTACACTAGTAATAAAGAGCTCTAACTTTATTAGTAGAAAAGTTAAAAAGAGGTCTATAGTTATTATAAACTAGGCAAAAAGTAGGCAATAAGTCTATATAGTAATAATATAAAAGAATAACACTATATAATAAAAAAAAAAGAATAGGTTAAGAGAGAAAAGTACTAATTAAAAAAAGTTAAAGTAAATTAAGAATAAATTAACTTTAAGTAAATTAAAATCTTACTTATTAAAATAAGGCGCAGTAAGGCTTATGCTACACTAAATAAATTTATTTTTTTAAAGTCTTTAGAAGTATAACTTTTTTTAAAATAGTGTTTTTATTAAGTTTAGAAAAGGACTTAATTAGGCTAAAAACTTTTAAGAAAAAATTTTACATAAAAAAATTTAAGCTATCTAAACTTATTATCTTAAGTAATAAAATGCCTCTAAGCCTTTACCCCCTATGTAATAGTTTATAGTATGTAAATATGCTTTTAATTTTAATATAATTAGTATAGCTTTATAGCTTAAAGAAAAAAAAAATAGTTAAAAGTATTTTATATTAGGCTAATATTATATTAGGTGTAATCTTAAGGCCTTTATAATTTTTTATAAAGGTTAGTAAATAATGTAGAATAACCTAATACACTTATATATATTATAAATAGCTATAATACAGTAGCTTACTATAACTTATTATTATTATAAAGTAAGGTTAACTAAGGCTGTAAAAGTATTAAAGCAGATAATATTTAGTTAGAAAAAATTAGAATAGGTTAAAGCAGATGTAGAGCTAAAGCTTAAAGTTGCACTACTATTTTGCTTAACTAAGGGGAGATCCTCTAGAACCTCTTTTTTGCCTGCAGCAGGCTTTACTTAGAAAGTCTTAGCAAAGCTAATTATATTTAGCAGGAAAAATTACACTATAGAAGTAATTTTTACACCCCTAACTATACAGTAGTTAATTATAATAGGAAAAAAAGAAAACTAGATTAAGCATGTAGCATAGCAGAATAATTACTTAAAGCTTAAAAACAAACAGTAACGCAGCTTTTTAGTTACTAATTTTCTACTAATTAAATCAATAGCCGGCTTATATCCGGACCAATAGGAGAGAGGGCTTGGCGGTAGAGATAGTGTAATATTTGATTCGCTGTGTCGAAGATGGTTTCGTGGAAACGCGTTGGCTGACTAATTAAACGTGCGCCAGGCTATGTCTTATCACTGCTCCCAATCCCGAGTCGGATTTAATGATAATCCGAACGCTTGCAACCCCCACAGTCACACACCCTTTGGTAAAATACCCACAGATGTAATTATAAGGTAAGTCGTACAGGGTCATCGTGCAATAGCCCGGATTCGCTTCCGCTCGTGGTACCTATCAACGGAGCGGCGCTGCATGAAATCGCGCTATGCAGCGCGCATAGGGTTGATGGTGATTTCCTAGTATTAGAAGAAGGTTGTAAGGATAAGGTAAGGCTATTGTATACAATTTAGAGCGAAAAAGGTGTAAGGTTGGCGCTGTAGGGTAGGAAGCCTGTTCTGCCACACCGCAACGCGCTGTACAAATCCAGCGTTGAGGCAACGATGCGAACGTAAATTTTAGGGCAAAATACATTAGTTATAGACATTTAGCAGTAGCTCTAGCGGATTATTTCTGTAGAATTATAAAAATATGTGTTGTGCGCTTAAGCTTTCTAGTTGCTGAAAGTCAAAGCACCCTTCATTTGTCTCGGCACACATTGTGTCTCGCTACGCAGTGAGGGACGTTAGTGCTGGAACGACTTCGAAGGCCTGGCCCCGCGCCGGGATTTTGAAATCGAGAGCGGTTTCGCGGAGGTGGTTTTCGCATGTTATTTTGATACATATCTACGATCAATTTACCTTCACAGCTGGGGAGATGAAGATCTAAAGCAATCCAAGTACAATTTTGCATTATAGTGTCCAGCTTCATTTCGTACGGGGGATCATGGACTACAAGAGCTGGGTTCTGGCCCGTTGGGGATAATTTGTGATTCTGTACCAGGTATCGGTGATTTAACGGTAAGATACAGACGCTAGCAGAGTATTTTATCTACAATCCTTCACTTTAAGGGTTCTTTAATCAGTAAACATCAGAAAATGCTCCCGCTTGACTATATCTATTGAATAGACCTCAAAATCTTATATCAACAAGCAAAATCCATGCATCGGTGGTTTAGTGGTAAAATTAGCCGTTGCCATCGGCTAGCCCCGGGTTCGATTCGTAAGTTTATCCGACCTTTTCGTCCGTAGGATTAGAGGTTTAACAATTAAATAGCCGGCCGATGCACAGAATGATTTTTTTCTTATTTTGGTTCACATGGATCAGGGCGGAGAATTGGGTTTTTGGCCTTACCAAACCCTAAAATGACACATTCTGAACAACGAGTACGAAGGAACAAGCATCATGATACTTTTTTGATTGTCTAGATAAAACAAAAATTCGTTTTGACAGATGTTAGCGCTCTCATGAGGGGATTGATGCCTGGCACTCAGCCACATACACTGCCACAAGAAGCGCCACGTTCCCGCCTCGCGATTTCCACAACTCCCCGCCATCTTGTTCTCGTAGCTAGTCGGCGGCACATAGCCTCTCAAAGGCGAAACAGGATATGCCACACTTCACCTACATCTAATCTTGCCGCCCGATGCTTTCCTAATTTATCATCTGGATACACTTCGAATTCACTGCTTCCGAGGTTTGGAAGCCTGAATTGCTCTATCTGCTAACCTCGTACTCTTTTCCAGGTTCGCAACCTCGACTCGAATATGCCTTTCATTGGGCATACACCGGAATCACTCCTCCCTCGCTCAGACTCGAAGAATCCTGCTACAACATGCAAGGGTATCACCTCCAGCGGAAGACCGTGTAGACGTAGCATCAGCACCGCGAAAGCTTCTCGGAACAATGGTGTTTTGGCCGTCGTATCAGTAGCTGGAGATCGTGGTGAAGGGGAGACTGGAGCTGCTGCGTTTTTCTGCTGGCAACACAAGAATCAGGCAGAGCGGCTGGCAGCTACTAATGAGGCGACTCCTCAGCAGCACAGCACGCAGCTGTACACATTGCAAGAGCGGAGTAGCATTGATACCTTAGTGGCGCGGTTAGGTGTCCTTGAAGTTGAAGAACCCACACAGCAGAGGAGGAAGGAGAGGCGGTCAGGAGGGCGATCAGAAGGTCAGAATGCTGCAGGAAGACCTTCTCGTAGAATAGATCGGCCACCGACGTGGGAACAAGTTCAGGGGCCTCTCATGTCGGTCCCAAGTGACGTTATGGCTGAGAAGAAGCGGGCGTCACAGAGACCAGAAGGCGGCAGATCACCACAGCGGACCAAGAAGCCTTCATTTTGGGAGTCGTTATGTTGTATAGGCTCTACAGGTGATGACTACGTTGAAGTAGTGAGGCATAAGAAGAGAATACAACCTCAGGCCCCTCCAGCGACGATCCAATATGTTTCGGAAACCCCAATGCCACTCAATCTTGAAACCACTCACCAAGGGCAATCAGGCAGACCAAATAGCTCTTCGCTTGGCCGGCCACCTTCATTGACGCCTATGAGCAGCATCCCAGCCCGAAAGCCGCTGGGAGAGAAGCCTGCCAGGCCAATAAACAGAGTCTCACCACGACCTTCACAGACTTCGAATCTTCTTGCACATATTCCGAAGAGCGTCGCTCCTCAAACAGCATCGCTCCTGCTCGCAGAGCTCTCGAAACCAATATCGCAACACGACGACGAGGGTTACATATATATATTCTGGCTTACATCGGAATCGGCAGGTCCACCACCGTCGTCAACCGCATCCTCCCTGCTTGCCCCTCCATCACGGCTAGAGCAGGGCCGGCGAACGTCGGACGTTCTTCGACAGTATTCCGTACGCTCCCCTCAGAGACCAGACGCCCTTCGAACACGATCCGATCAACCAACCAATTCGAATTCCGAGAAGAAAACTATCCTTCTCAAGATCGGTCGAGCTTCAAACGTCCACCGGAGAATGAATGAATGGACGCGGCAATGCGGATACAGCCTTTCCCTCGTTCGCTGGTATCCCTATGTGTCATCTACTCCATCTCCCTCACCATCTCCTCATGGATCACCAGCACAATCTCGGCGACCATCATACAAGAATGAGAGGCCTGCTGAACTAACTCGACGCGTGTTAGAAGGTGTTCGTAAAGTACCACATGCGCATCGCGTTGAACGCTTGATCCACATTGAGCTAGGCGACCAACGCGTTAAGAAGAACTGCGAGACTTGTGGGAAGGAGCATCGAGAGTGGTTTGAGGTCGATGCGACTCGAGAGGGTGTTAAGGCTGTTGATGAAGTTGTAAAGAGATGGGTGAACTGGGCTGAGAAGACAGAGAAACAATGAGAAATGAATGGGTTGATCACTTAATGGCATACACATTGATAACTCTGAGCACATGGTACTCAACATTAAATAAATGATGGTGAACTTTGAAATTACACGGCCATTAATACCCCTGAGCAGATGAGTAAAACAGGCCTCTAAACGACGGGCCTCTAATGGCGGAGATATGAGGAAGTTACGATTATGCCAAGACCAGGGATGCATGCTTGAGCTTCTTTCGACCTCTCGGCCCTAACTCTTATCTTCAGCCTATTCATCAAACACACGACTGCTCCCGCTCAACGCACCGTGCCGTAGCACCTATGCATAGTATTCCTCACGATACTCACGATTTCGGCTTCTTCAGTGTCGCATTAAATTAGGCACCCTAATCATGTGCACTAACCAAGCGGCACAACTTATGCTTCATCCACCCGCGAAACAGCCACAACCACAGGGCTAGAAAGGAATCGTCTCCAAACTAACCCCCAAGCTAAAATCCGCCCCCAAATCACTATCCGATATGCGAGGACTCCACCGGGGAGCGTTAGAAACCAGGGATCCAGTGCCAGAGATGCTGTGGTGGTGCTTGCCCGTTGTCACCGCCACCTTTGCCTTGTCATCCCCATCCTTCTCCATTCGCATTCTGACTGACGAAAACATTTCGTTATCGTCTTTGCTACGGGTGATAAGATGGCGAAGTCTATCCATAATTCTCTCGTTATGTTTGTTGTCGTACTCGTCAACCTCCACTCACTCTTCCATTACGATTCTCGAGTACACGCGGTAGAAGTCACAGCCGATTCCCCATGCTCCAACTTCTGCATCAACAGTCCCGGCCTCAACATCTCCGACATTGCGAGTTCGCAGACTTTCAGTGGTGACCTAAGCTGCCTTGATTCTGACTATAATGGAGATAACAGTACCGCGATAGGCCGGAAGTTCCGGTCGTGTGTGAGTTGTGAGCAGACAAGTAAAGCAGTGGACACGATCTACGAAGAAAATGACGTCTATTGGTTTCTCTGTACGTGTTTACTCCTAGTCCAATAGGACGGACAAGTGTGCTTTAGGATGGCAAACAGTATCCTATTGTCTCATATTGAATCTCAGCATGAAGTTAAACAACTGTCGTGTTCCCAAATATTAGTCCGTCCTACACCCCGCAAACAGTAATTCTAACATCCAACCAGTCAACCTCAAATCCACAGTAGTATGGTGTGTCCAAGGTTTCTTCGAAAGCGAACAAAACCCCAACACGACGCTCGCAAATACTCAATGCAACTCCGCCTGTGACACCATTGGCAACGCACTAGAAGACCGTCTGAAGCAAACAAACGAGTCTCTCCAATACAACTACTGTACTTCCAACAATGGCGCCTTTATGTCCGGCGTCGACAAATGCACAAACTGCCTCGTCGCCATCGACAACCTCAAAATCCTCGGGAACTGTAAGCGCTCCACCAATCCCCTTTGGGTCAGGTTTTTTCCGCCGATGCTGATGCTATACTACGTACGCTATAGTCCTTTCGGCGTTAAAGTCGGCCTGCCAACAAAAGCCCGCCTTGAGCTCCACAATCTCCCTTAGCACAAATGTCTTTTCTATCACCGGTGCCACCTCTAGCCCCAGTATCTCCACTCCCACTAGCAGTTCCACCAATTCGGCTTCCTCCATCCCCACCGCCATCTCCTCATCCTCCATCTCCGGCGGCGCAATAGCAGGGATAGCAGTAGGCACTGTAGCCGGCCTCGCTATCCTCGCCACAGTAGTTTACCTTCTCCTCAGAAGGCGGAAAAAGAGTGGACAGGGACAGGGAAAGATGGGAGAGTTGGACGGAACCCAGAGTCAGGTTCCTGGATACAGACAGGGGAAGGAATATAAGCAGCATGCCCCCGGACATGGATCTGGGAATGGGTATGGAGTTTTACAGCAGCACTCTGCGTATGGATATAATCAGCCCTCAGAAATGGGCGCTGAGAGACCGCTTGCTGAATTACCGGTGGAACCCAGAGTCTGAAGTAGTGATATGGGATGAGCATGACTTCCTGAGGTCGAAGATATGATATGCAGTGTAGTATGTATAAAGATTTTTTTTTTATGAGTTCAATGGTCTTTTTACATCTGCAAGCAGGAATCTTGACACCAACGCTTTGCCTGGCGTGCGTGCGGACACTCCGTTGAAGCTTGTATTCTACACTTTTCTTCCCTATTTAAGAACGAATTCTCTACCCTTCTACATGCAGCCGTCTCTAATTTTGGATTTCTATGTGTACGCAAAAAAAAGTCTTCCCCTCTCACCCTATTCGTCTAAGAAAGACACCCAAAAAGAAACAAATTCCTCCACTCCGCTTCTAAGCACCCCCATTCTCCACTCAAGCGATCTCACTCCTTCGCTGACGCCCCAACAGCCCTGACATCCAAAATGCCGCGACACCTGCGCCAACGGAAAACCTTGCCACTCCAAGGTCCACAAATCTTGAATTCGAATTCGAAAGCCCTAGGACTCACAACTCACTATCGTCACTATCGATCGGGCGAATTCCGCAACGGGGGGGGTTTTTTTTTGTAGCCGACGTAGAAACATAATGTCTTTATGAATGAACGTCAGCCAGACTATACCCAGGTCTCCTAAACTAATGAAAAATGGACACATGTAACCGTCGATAAGCTGTCTGTCTGCTATTGGTCTAGCTCGCACTTCAAGGGGCTATATCCCTTGCTCTATCCCGCCACTCCTTTCGCGTGTCGGTTTAGTGGGTTGCTTCATCGTCGCCGATGGCGCTGACGCCGTACACCACACGACTGTGTCTGACTGACCCCGATGCTCTGGAATTGTATTGGAAGACTTCCTTGGTGTGCCATCTTAGGTGCGAAGCAGGAAGGCTGACCAGTGATGTCCTTCATCAGCGATATGGCGGGGCCTTCAGGCTTCAGTACAGCAAAGACCCAATAACGGGCCAGCTATGGCGCTGGATGTAGTTTTGGTTGGCTTCAATGCCTCGATTCGCTTTGGCAGGAAAGACTGGCGTAGAATGGGACACCATTCCGAAGATAAAAGAGCACCTGACCGGACGCTGTCCAGATTCGAACTCGTGAGTTTGAGGAGACCAGTTTTTCAGACACAGTCACCAACAGGATCAAGGAAAAAAACCCTTTCCCACCGCCTCCCAAGAAAACAAACAAACCCCTTTCCCCTCCTATCTTCTTGTTAGCTACATATAGTACTCAGCGATAGCTTGTTTTCTAGTGTAATGCATCTCACACACCCTCTCTCCCTATCCCTCACTCCCTGTGGCGGGCATTGAAGAGCCGATCGTCGCGAATAGACAACGATAAACAGAGATATTGGGGAGAAGGGAGAGGGGGGACGGTGCAGGTAGGGTCGGGTGGCTCACTGATCGTTGAAGGACAGGTGTATGTTTGTACTACACTGTATTCCAATGTACTCCTTTCTTAACATCTGGGCACGCAGAGCAGAATGAGCAACACAAATGGAGAAAGCGCACCATGTGCTAGAAGTCCATGCGCCAGGAAGTAGCTATCTAGCATGCGTTTATCACAAGTATGATAATAATAATAATAAAATAGAATTTCATTTCGGGGGTATCTCGAAAAACTAGTTACATACACAATTCCACACAAAAGCGACAGGAAGAAAAATTAAAGGAAAGAGAAGGAAAGTCGTGATTGTATCGGTCATTAAGATTGTTGCTTTTTGTTCGAACAAAGCGAACACTGTACAAATGTTGAACTTTTGTCTCGGGTGATTTTTGGGGGTTTGTGTCCGGGTGGGTCCAAAAGTTCAAAACTCCGCTACGTCGGTAGCACTTTTCCAGACATTTTTTCTCTGCACACAAACCAGACGAAAGTCACGGTGAGTGGTGTTGAACCTCCTCTTTTCCACATCCTCATCGTATCCATTAATTCTCCCGCATCATGGTCATCGTTGTGCCGTTCGGATCCACTCATCCTTGCAGCCGCTGTATCCCATATGTACAAATCCGTGCGTGCGTGCTACCCCGCCCCCGCTTCGTGCGTGATAATGGTTTCAGAATATGCCCATCCGTTGGCCCCATCCATCAGTGGCTTTAGGATTTACGACCACTTGGTATGGGAAGGGATTCGCGTCGGTGGTAGTGATTGGCGGGATGTGGTCTTTGTCGCGATTAACGATGTTGACGATTTTGAGGGCGGCTTTATGCAGAGATTTTTCCATTGCGCGACGGACTTTTAGGACGTCTGTGGCGATTGATTAGCTCGGTTCACTCGCAATTTCAGTAGAAGAATGAGTGTGGGAGTGGAATTCGCTATGTGAAGGAGAAATGACAGCTAGCGCGGGGGGCAGCGTACCAGTCTCTGTCCGCGGTGTAGCGAGCGTAACGTCCAGCGTCCACTGCTCCCAGCAAACCTCCTCGTCTGCCTTCCCGAAGAAATACGTCTTCCTTCTTCGCTTCTCGAAGAACTGGACGGCGAGTTGTCCGCGCCCACGCTGCTGATGTGTGGACTCAATGGCGCGGACCAAGGCAGCGGTGCGCTGGTCAATCAGGGTCTCGAGGTCGACGTCGTCGATGGCGGGGAGCGTGAGGTCGAGGAGGTCGCGTGTGAGTGGCGATATTGAGGAGAAGTAGCGGTGGAAGAAGATGGTGTGGAGAATTGCTATGAGGGAGATCAGCGGAGATAGCGGGTTGGCCCCACGGCGGCGCCCAACACTCTCAACACGCAGGAAAGGGGGAACGACGGCAGGAACATACCCTTCACTACGTCCCTCACACAGGCCGGGTCCGCAAAGACCTCGAGAATATACTCTGGAGGCCGTCTTTGTTCCATGCTAGCATTTGCGGGGTTTCTCGGTGCGCGGACGGCTTGTGATAGGGGTGTCAGACGGCGTGGTATGGCGCGGTTAGGGTCTACACTCTCACGGACAGGTGTGGCAGTATGGTTGGCAGGCGTGTTAGAGCGATTGTTCAGCGTCGTGGTGGTTTGTTGCTTGGAAAGACAGCGTGGAATGAAGATGGGCATGGCAGTGCCGAAAGCTGAAATTTGTGGCTGCGGGGCTGGCATTTGCGCGGGTCAGCACCAGACACGACGACAAGGGGGGGTAAGCGCACCAGGACTCGGAACTGGCTGGGCTCGGCCGTCGGTGAGATCATTATGCTAAATCACAAGTCCAACCCAGAACACCATGCCCCACCAAACGGGATGGCACCACATGGCCTTTTGCCTCTTGAGCCTCTTGAGCCTCTTGATCCAGCCTTATCGCGTCTCAGTTGCCTGCCAGAAGGCCACCCATCCTTGCACACCAGTCTGACACTCACACATGACTCTTCACTGACAACGGATGATCAAGCATAGCTCTTCTGCACTCCTCCCATCGCCGTCGGAGGCTGCCGCTTTTAATGTTCTGACACCTTGCGGTTATCGCTTACAGACGGGTATGGCAGGTGGCTCGTCTCCATCTCATCTTATCATATATGCAGAGCCAGCATACTCCTTGTGTTGACTTCATCTTGCGTCTACGAAGGTCTAATTGACCATCTATTAAAAACATTCCTCATACCCAAGATGCTTCGACAGCGAGTCTATCGGTATAGAACTAGAGGAAATTGCAGGTTTCGAGGCGTCTCTGAACTCATCATCACATGTTTCGCTTCAAACACGTAATGCCGTCCTCCTCACGCCACTATGGCGTTCCCATTGTCAACCTCCTTCTCACCGATATGAGCCCCTTTATCCTCCTCACCGTCGACAAGCCCATACTCCCTTAACTTCTCTTCAATGCCTCGGTCGTCCAAGAAAGGAAGTTCCTTACTTGCGCGGACGTATCCCATTTTCTCCAGGTATCCTTTGGCAAAGATCAAGTCAATCTCCTCCAACGACCTCCTTTTCGTCTCGGGATAGAAGAAAAAGATAATGGGAAAAAAGCAGGCATTGATAACGGCGAAGACCAAGTAGGTCGCCCAGCCAATGTTGTCCAGCATGACCGGAGTGATCATGACAATCATGAAGTTGAAGAGCCAGTTTGAGCATGTCGACATGGCGTTCGCCTTGGCTCGGGTCTTGATAGGGTTGACTTCAGCCGGATACAGCCAAGGTAGAGGAAGCCAGGTCGCGCCAAAGAAGGCAATGTACGTGAACAAGCCCACAGCGGCACCCTTGGCTGCTGTTTCGGTACCAGGAATCAGGCACGCAAAGACCAGAACCATGGACAAACATTGGCCAACTGTGCCAACGAGGAAGAGCTTGCGGCGACCAACACGCTCGATAATGAACCAGGATGTTGTTGCGAAGATGGAGTAAACAATCATGTTAACGCCCCCAAGGAGGAGAGACATGTTCTTTGTTTGGTGGATTGAATTCTCAAAAAGCAGAGGAAAGAAGTAAATAACCGCATTGCATCCCTGCTCACTGTTAGCAGACTGAATTAATACTGGAGGGGCTTTCACGTACACCAATCTGCTGAAAGAATTGTGATGAGACGCCAAGAAGCATTCGGCGGAAATGCTGCGTCTTGCCGCCCGTGAACAGGGCACTGAAAGGAGTATTCCCGCCTTTGTGGCCAGATGCCCGGATACTGTCCATGATAATACTGACCTGGAGCTTAGTCTCCTCGTCGTCAGTGCGGAGACCACGGAGAGCAGCAATGACTTTTGCTGCCTCGTCTGTTCGATCCTTAGTGAGCAACCATCGGGGCGATTCGGGGAGCCAGATTGGAGCAACCAATACGATGAATCCGAATACTACCTGGAAAGCAATTGGGAATCGCCAGGTGAGGTCAGGAGGTCCATATGTGCAGCCATAGTCTAGCCAGTAAGCAATCAACGTACCAAAAGCGATGATGCCGCCCTCGATGCAAATAAGAAGCCCGCGGTTGGCAGTCTTCGAGCATTCAGCTTGGTACGTCGGAATGGTGCTTGTATTAATTCCATTTCCAATTCCGGTTACTGTACGACCGATAATGAACTGCGCAGTGGCTTTGTAGCCTTTAATCGCGGAGCACTGAATTATGACACCTAGAATCATGATCGCAGCGCCTGTCATCATGGCCCTACGCCGACCGAGAGCGTCACCGAAGATTAAGATGCCGATTGCTCCAAAGAGGCAACCGATTTCGTAAATCGCCGTCACGAATCCTTGCCAAGTGGCATCGTTGTACGTTTCTGGAAAGTATTTCATGAAAGGATCCGCTGCAATGATTCCAGACATGACTCCCTCTAGACGATAGATTAGCGGCTTAATCCAGCGTGACGCGAGCGAAGGTACTTACGGTCATACCCAAAGAGTAAGAACCCTGTGGTCGCAACGACGGACACGATCAGACTAAGTGGCCTACCAGTCAGCCCCATGAAGCGAGGTTGCTTGGAACCATCATTGAGTGATGACTGCGAATTCTCAGAATCTGAAGACATCTTGATAGGAGAGATCCTCCAGCTGGAACCAGCTAGGCCTGTTACGAAAAATAAACGCTCCAGATGGTCTCGGAAGCGAAACATGTATCAAGCGCAACAAAAGACAAAAAAATGAAAAATACAATAGGAAGTGGGGAGTGGTGTTTACATTTCGCGGGGTTGCAGGGTCCTTTTTCTACTGGTGCTAATTGTCCTAAGACCTCCACTCTTCGGAGGAAACATGGAGTTGGCCCAGTTGGAGTCCTTTCTACAAAGATTGCAGATTACAACCAGTGTCTCGGTTCCACAATACAACCTCGACGACGTCATTTGGGACAGTTATCACGACTGTAGACGGCGCTCACTCCACATAGGGTTTGAGCTGTAGATCCTGGCGAAAATATAGCATGTGTTGACGGGAGCGGTCTGCAAGAAATGGTGGAAACGTTGGTTGCTGGGGTAAGGTTTTCGGCATCTCCATTTCGAGAAGGAGTTGTTGTGAGCCACATCCCTGTGAAAACTGGGGCAAACGGGAGGCGCTGCAGATCCATAGGCGTTCGGCAGAGCTTGTGACGTTGTTGCACGATTTTGGCCGAACCTTCTCCGGATGGGTGAACCGGAAGCACCGATTGAATTGTGGAGTAAATGGACCATTCAGAGTACGGACTGATAGGCTAGATATTTAGTATAAAAGCGATCCATGTGAATGATGAGAATTCATGGCTGTTTTGGCCGAAACCAAGATTAGCTGTACGCCATGGACGGGACCTGAACATCTTGTATGCCGAGGCGAATTGTGCCGGTCACCTCTTAAAACTTAGAAGCGATTCTCTTGTGAATCTAGTTCCGAGACTCCTTATTGTTGCCAAGCGCGAGTGTGAGTCCTGGTTGTAAGAAACTTGGCAAACAGCGCCGATTCTTGCCATTGTAACGAGCCTCGGAACTCACACAGATGATGTCGAAGGGAGTAGATACAGCAAGTATAGGCGGTGCTCGTGCCTGCTGGGTAAGTGTTGCAATAACTCATAGGAATACTGGGCTTTCTTTCATGTGAAGGTAACACACAATAACAATCGGGGCCTAACTTCCCGGTGAACATGAGAAGCAGTTATTGGGAAGGTGTAGTGGTGCAAGGTGCCTGAGGCATGATCGAGCCAAGATCTTGCAACCGCCAATCCGTAATCAGCTCGGTGAATCATTTCTCCACCCCGACCAAGAACGCGTCGCGTCAACTTTTCGTGCGTAACGACGGAGTCTTCTTTGACGCGAAATATGGCGAGCGCAAAGCGGAAACGAACCGACGATGAGGTAGAAACCTCAACTCCACGCAAACTACGTACTCGAGCCGCAAACGAGGATGAACCGGACGAAGAGGCAGTTCCTGAGGTCTCAACTCCGTCCAGAAGAACGAGAGGTCGACAGATAGTTGAGGATGGGACTCCGAAATCCATTTTGAAGAAGAGTGGAGCCTTCAATGGAGTCAGCGGAACCACTCCGAAATCGCATCGTAAACTCCTTTTTACTACTCCGTCCAAGTCCGGCAAAACCGAGACACCAAACGGTCTCCCTACTATAGTTCGCAATGCAGACCGCAGCGCTCGACGAAAAAGCAACAGGAAGCTTCTAGAACGTACCCTAAACGGAGCAGACAGCGATGAGGAGGCCCTAGACGAAGAGGATACATTAGCACAGCAGATCTTGAGCGATGAGGAAGAAGAAGACGTGCAGGGACAAGATGCTCCAGATATAGGGGAGCAAGAGGATATACAGATACCGGAAACCCCGTCGAAACGTGCAAGAGGCCGACCCAAAGGCTCGGGCAGGCAGCGGAAACAACGCTCCCCGACTCCACCTCAGGATCTCCCTCCGTATGAGGAATATTTTTGGCAGAATCGCGCTGGCGGAAACAAAACTTCTAACAACACACTGTCCGCCCAGTGCCTTCTCAATCACGATGAATATTTCCAGGCAATGCAGTGCTATGAAGACCATCACAACTCCGAGAAAGAATTTCTTTTAGAGTTGCATAGCCGTGCATTCAATCAATGGATATTCGAGCTAGAAGAAGGGTTCAATGTCTGCCTATATGGATATGGCTCGAAGAGGCCAATAACTGAAAGATTCACGGCGCATCTCTACGACCACCTTTGCGGGCAATCCCCATACATGGGGTCAAAGAAGACTCCCAAGATCGTGGTCATTAACGGGTATACCTCAGGAACTACCATGAAGGAAATCTTGAATACTGTGGCATCGATCATTATACCCCCAAATACCAAGACACCCAACCAACTATCTTCTTTGCTTGCATTTCTCCTCGATCGTCTCTCCGAGTCACCACCTTCGCATCCGATACCAATTATTCTCAATTCGGTCGACTCACCGTACCTTCGAAAATCCCCAACTCCGTCAATGCTAGCGAGCCTTGCCGCACATCCTTTCATAAACCTCTTCTGCACAGCGGACTCGCCCAACTTCCCTCTCCTCTGGGATGTTGGGCTCAAAGCGCAGTTTAAATTTCTCTTCCACGACGCTACCACGTTCGCACCGTACGACGCTGAGATCGACGTCGTAGAAACTGTAAATGAACTTCTAGGCCGCAGTGGTAGAAGAGTTGGTGGCAGAGATGGAGTGGGCTTCGTCTTGCGCTCCTTGCCCGAGAACGCTCGGTCTCTCTTCAGAATCCTTATCACGGAGCAGTTGGCTGTGCTCTTAGCTGATGATGATGACCGTGGGGCCAACGGAGACGGTCCTACTGCCACTCCACGCAACAAAAGGATTGTCTCAACCAAAAATATCCTGCCAGAAGCTACTCAAGGGGTTGAATACCGTGTTTTATATCACAAAGCCGTGGAAGAGTTTGTTTGCTCCAGCGAAGTAGGATTTAGAACACTGCTCAAGGAGTTCCATGACCATCAGATGATTGAGAGTAGGAAGGATGCAATGGGTACTGAGAGGTTATGGGTGCCATTCAGACAAGAGGAGTTGGAAGGTCTCGCGGAAGACCTGTCAGGAGATTCGTTCTAATTGGCACTCTATGATACCTAACTCAGCCGTTTATTTGATAGTTATTTTTAAGTTTCACAAACTTCTGACCCTGCACCCCTTTCATGGTTGTGCATGACTTTCCTCTTCACATTTCATAAGTTCCTCTGTTTCTCTGAAAGGATTCACCCTGAAATTCATGGCTATTGTCTTATGGCTTATTTGAGGGCTACATCTGTATCCCGTCACTCTTTCCTAGGCTTAGCGTAGCGGGTCTCAAAGGCTCTCCTTCCCCACTACTTCATTAAGCATTCGTGGATCTCACTATGTATAGCTCGGACATATTTTGTGGTTGTGATAGCTTCTTAGCGCAGCGTGGAATCGAGATCAGACGGTGCTGAGGGTATAAACACCTCGACCAGGCATTATGAACATGCATCGCGAAATATACAATCTCAACAGTTATTGTAAGATCCTCCAACTAACGATAAATCTGTCCTCAACTTACTTTCTTCAAAAGCCATCCTATATTCGCACACGATGGCGGCGATCAGACTGGCTCGATAAATTTATCCGCGCCCCTCTTTTGCGCAACTATAAATGCACTCTCGTTAGTTCCCGTCTCGCTTTAATACCATACGAATCTTTAAGGATACACAGGAAATGAGAGTTCTTCTCTTCATCCATCTACCGGGAAGTCGACGCATGCGACAACGATGGAAGTTGCGCCTGTATCAACACCATTTCCAGCTTTAGGCATGTTCCCAATGTCTCCCATCCATACTTAACTCATCTAACCCTTAAACGAACTTGCCTCTGACCCTACTGCTAATCCACACTCCAGCCACCTGCCTAACCTTCGCTTTTCGCCGGCCACGTCTGCAGCATCGCAGATCAACTGGGTCCCGAGTTCATAGACTACAGTTGTCCCATAAACGTCTCCCAACTTCCTTAACCTTTCATCCCGTCGGATATTGGTATGACGATCCCGTTATTTGGGACAGCTGGGCAAAGTGCAAGCGACTCTATTCAGTAGGGTAAAAATAGCCCGACTACGCGGACAGAGACAGGCGGCGATACGTCGATGGGATTTGGTATCACGGTGGTGAGCAATACGGAGGTATGGAATGATGCGTTTGCAGGGTTAAAGGCCAGGAAGGAGGCGTTTACTGAGGAGAGCGATCCTGTGACTGTATTCTTGGAGGTGGGTATTGTGCTGCTGTTGCTGTGAATGGACTACCTGCGTTTTTGAGAGGGAGGGATATGGGTAATGAAATGCGAGGTGTCGAGTGAGTTACCACACTCAAGGTTGCTGTTTCTCTGCGACGTCAAAGTTGGGTCAAAGTCTTTATCTTCTGAGAGTATAAAAGTAATAAAGAGCTTGCAGTGTACTGAGTGAATGATCCAGTAGGCGCGATAGTTATTTGGTGTGTAGGAAGTGGAGCTCTCACCTTCATTAACACTACTTCATGCTAACAACGATGATATAAGCCCCAACTGCTAGTCGCCCCACCATGCTTTCCATTATCCTGGTAACCTCTCTGTCTTAATTTTCCGAGCATGAACTATTGCGATGACACTTCTCGACAGGATCTCCATCCCTAGAAACCAGAGCCCAAGCCGAAATCTTACTACAACTGCTAACGGATGTCTCATGATCCATACTTAGCGCAGCCATTATCTTGCAGCTAAGGGCGTCATCCCTCCACGTCCCTCCCTCTCTGTCCTAATTCGCACAAATATCGCTAATTTCGTCATGGAACCAAAATCTTCCACTCTTCTTGAACTCCGAGATCCCCCTTCTAATGTTCTCACTAGACTAACTTCCATGTGCGCATCTTAACTCCGCTTCTATTTTTCAGAGTGGACCCTTCTCTTCCCGCTTCCAACTTTTCTTGGATCCCATCAGTGCTAGTCCACTGTGCCAGTTAACTTCCGATATATGGCTTAAACGTTAATCTATTTGGGTACTTAGTGTCGCCCTATCACTTTGAACACCCTACCCATTTGGATGCTCGCTCGAGGTCGGCCCTCTCAAGAGCCTGCACATTAACGCTGTCCTCACCTCCAACCTCTAGCTTCAACGCATTGCCGAATCACAGATCAAGTATCATCACAGGTTGGAAAATAGTGTGGGAAGATTCCCCACCATCTAAGGCGGCTTCGGGAGTGAAGGCTGTGCTCTAGGCCTCTGGAATCGTTGGTGTGTATAGCTGAGACTTCGGCCCGTTATGACAATCGACGTCTCGGCCCTGGAGGCCCTCTTGCCTGGCTTTCGCTAGCATTGTGCATCCACTTAAGCCTCCCTCACCACTGACCTATACTAAGCGTCGTTGCAGGTCGGGATGGAGGAAGGTCAGTCCTCTAGAACCTGGTATCTAAGTGTGTTACGAGACTGGAAGGTGTCTTCCATGCAGAGGAAAGATTGGTGGGGTGCTAATAGCTTATAAATGTCGATTCCTTTGGGGCCATATTTTCTCTTCCTGCTCTTTAGTACCGAGATAAGGAAGACAGAAGATTTTTATGTGACGGGTGAACAGTTTCCGAATGAAATCGTGACGGACCGGTGGATGCTGCTTCTTTCTCATCGGTGCAATCGATTTCAAGACCTTAACACTGTAGCTTCAGCTCAGAACATTGGCCTGGTGGCTGGAGTACTTTTGATTGTTCTTGAAGGTGTCTTGTAAGATGAGGCGGAAGACGACAAGAGCAAGACATTTTGCTCAAGAGCCCGAACACTTTTCAAGGCTCTGTTCACAGTATCGAAGCTAGCGAATAGATGGCCTTGTGATGCAATATTCCTCAGCAGAGTCTCGGACACTCGAGGTGGGCTTAGCGGCTAGTACGCTTTATGCGTAATTGTTAGGTTCTCCCAGAGGAACCCGGTTTCTGGTCATACAGTAGCCTTTTGAGTGTGACGAACATTTTCATTGATCAATCACCTGTCGCGAAATGTAAAAAGGAGATATTCAAAATCTAATATTCTAGGTCTGATCTCCAACGCCAAAGCAGGGGTATCTGTCACCAAAACCCGTCTAGAAAAGAACTTCTCCATGGTAGCATCTTCCAATATAGAGAAGGGAAAGGTAAACACATCGCACGGTGCTAGTGCCACAAGACATTGCACACATTTATCCCGTCCACTACTGATCATTTGGGTGAAGCGTAATCATAAGTTCCATCACGAAGCCTCCTCCCGCCTTGATCCGATCCTCAATCCCGGCACACCCTTCAACCCCATCTTGCCCACAGTCCTCTTCTCAATCAGTGGGGGCTCTGGGCATCCCATAGCCTCTGCATACTGATTGGCTAGTTGCACGAGACCTTTCGCATCCAGTCGCAGTTTCTTGAGGTATGTTTTGTTGTATCCGAGGAACGCTTGGTATGCTTTTGCCTTGGCTTCTTCGTCGACACCCATGAATCCCTGCTCGATAGTAGGGTTATATTGGGTTAGGTCGGAGATTATCTCAGCAGGATATGGCTTGATAGGAAGGGTCTTGTTGACGTTGACGAAGAATGCCTCGTTCTCGAACAGAACCATAACTGCTCTACCATCCTTTCCAGCTCGTGCTGTCCGACCGACCCGATGGATATACTGTTCAGTTGAAGAGGGGAGGCCAAGCTGAATGACAAGACCAACGTTCGGAAAATCCATCCCTCGACCGACGACATCAGAAGCGAAAAGGATGCCTGACGCCGCATCTTTGAACTGATTGGTTGTCTTAGTTCTGCTGGTTTGTGAGAGTCGTGAATGAAGTTCAAAGGTCTTGAATTGAGGGAGGAGGTTTTGGAATAGGTCATAGAGAAGGCCGACCCCATTGGCAGTCGTACCAAACACAACGGCCTTGAAATCCTTCGGATTCTGCTTGTGTTCGCTTTGGATCAATACATAGAGAGCAGCAAAAGTCTGCTTAATGCTGGGGACGGTAATAGAGAATTGAGGGACATTGGCGACGGTTGGGGCTTCATTTGGATCGATCGTAGAGAGAGAGGTGTAGCCAGGGAATAGGACACATTTGACGACATCGTTGACTCTATCAGGTAGTGTGGCGGAGAAGCACATACCTTGCCACCCATCGCTCTTTGGAGGAATGCGCTTCAAGATGGAATTAATCTGGGGTGCGAAACCTTGGTCGAGCATTCGATCTGCTTCGTCTAGCACAACAGTCTTAATGCTGTCGAATCTGTCGCGAACTTCTTTCTCTCCAAGAATGTCATCAAGCCGGCCTGGGGTAGCAACAAGAATAGTAGGGCTTCCCCCGAGGAACTTTTTCAGATTTGATGCCCGCGCTGTACCACCAAACGCAGTATGGCACTCCATCTTCCTCGGAAGGCACGCTGTGATCTGATCGCATTCTTTTGCAATCTGGAGCGCAAGTTCGCGAGTTGGGCAGAGGACGAGAATGCCAACTTTGCCTCGTGGTGGGATATTGCCTTGGAGAAGGTTCTGAATCGTAGGGAGGAGGAAGGCAGCTGTCTTGCCTGTTCCGGTCTTTGCCTGGACCAGACAATCAGAGGAGAGCGTTGGTAGCTCCGTGAGAACCTTTTGTTGGACTGGAGTCATGTATCTGGAAGTGTCAGCGATATAATCGATCAAGAAGTCATGGGAACGACTCCAACGCGGGCAGAAGGGCACGCTCGGCGGGAGGCATAAAGTCGACAGTATGGAAGCACCCCAATAAGAGGCGCATGTAACGCAACGGCGTATTCTCAGGTGTGTCAGGTCAATCTCTTACTCGAAGCCCATTTTAGTCAATCCTTCCAGCAACGCTTTGTCCAGTGTGCCAGCCAGCGTAGCATAAGGCCGCGCCAACTTGAGATCGCCGCCCGCCATGGAGCTGAAAGACCGCTTCGGCATATCGGCGAGGTTTGGAGTAGGTTCGGCAGGGAAATCTCTTTGGAGTGTGGAAGGTTCGAACGCTTCAGCGTTGGTCTGAGTCGACGCATTCGCTGCGTGCGGCCTGGGTCTATAGGGACGTTGTCCGCCTCGGTGCTTCCGTGGATTGCGCTTCGGAGCTTGTGACATAGTGGAAAAGAAGCTGTAGCTAGTTCTCAAAGGAAAAGTGAAGGGATTAGAGGCTCGGCTAAGTCGTAGAGATAGTGGAAGGGAGAACAAGGTGGGAGTGGAGCACTGTTGCAATGAGCGCAAGTGGGTAGGTCCAAGTGGAAACTTCATCAAATTGTAGTATGACTAACACAACATTTGCATTTGTAAATGCAAGACGCCAACAAAATAAACACCACGAAGGGATGAATGGAGGAGGTGGAATGGTTGTGACCGCAGATGATGAAGGCAGTTCCGTCGAAACTTTTTGGTTCTTCTGGAAAATGGTTTCTCCGAGGATCTAACTGCCGGATCCGGTCAAATGGCTGACTAACCCTCCCTCCTCAGCTATCCACCTATGTCTTGGTGCTGGTGCCTGACTATTGCTGCAGAAACTTGATCTTCCGTACTCACTTGATGTCTGAGTCACTTAAATTAGCCCTTTGACTATGAAGAATCTTCATAGACACTCTCACTCTTTCCTGTTCAATGCCTTCCCTCTTCTAACTGATCAGCTCCTGAACAGAAGAGTCATCTTTCAGCTTTGCGCAATAGTCATGTGTCCTCCTAGTTAATCTCGCATCTCTGGTCTCTCCATCTTTGCTCCCTCTGATTTCGTTAGCCCTTTCCAATTCCCATACTCTATCGGTTCCTTCATCAGTTCGATCAATACCATCCACTATGTCCCGTTTTAAAAACCCCAACAGAGCATGGCAAGAAGTCGCCCAAGAAGCCCAAGCCCACCGAGAATCCACTGTCGCCTCCCTCTCCTATCCACTCCCGGAACTCCCCTCCCCTCTCCCTTCTAACGTCTTGTGCATCCCCTCTGACCTACTCGATCCATCCATCATCACCATCACAAATCTCCTACCAGAACAGCTCTTGGAATCTCTTCTCACTAACAAACTCACCGCAACCGCCGTCACAAACGCGTTTCTCCAGCGCGCCGCATTATGCCAAAGCCTCGTAAACTGCCTCACTGAGCTTCTCCCTTGCCGCGCCCTCGCTCGAGCAAAAGAATTAGATCACTATTATCAACAACACGGTCACCCTATTGGACCGCTTCACGGCCTCCCCGTGAGCGTAAAAGAACACATCGGGATGTCCGGGCTGCGTTACACTACTGGATATGTCTCTTTCTGGAACAAAACTGCCAAAGAAGACGCTCACGTGCTCCAAATCTTGTCCCGCGCTGGAGCAGTGTTTCACTGCCGGACGACTATCCCGCAAACAATGATGCACCTGGAAACCGATAGTAACCTTTTCGGTGTAACCGTGAACCCTTATAATTCAGCTGTAACAGCAGGCGGTTCATCCGGCGGCGAGGGAGCCCTCATCGCCCTACGAGGAAGTTGTCTGGGTATTGGCAGCGACGTGGGCGGCTCAATCCGCTCCCCAGCCGCAAACTGTGGAGTCTACGGTCTCAAACCCACCGCATTCAGAATCCCAACAGATGGCTGGGGTTACATGATGGCCGGCGCCGACACAGTAGACTCCGTTCTTGGCCCGCTTTCAACATCCCTCGCCGGCCTAGCCATATTTATGAAAACAGTCATCGACTCCTCTCCTTGGCTGGCCGAACCTGCCCTCATACCCATACCCTGGCGACCCTACACCATTCCCAGCGACCGCCCGCTCAGAATCGGCATTCTCTCACACGACGCCGTCGTTCGGCCCCACCCTCCCATAACCCGCGCTCTCTCCCTTCTAGCCTCGCGGCTACAATCCGCGGGGATCCAAACTGTCGATTTCCAACCCCATCTCCACGACGAAGCCTGGGCCATCATCTCTAGTCTGTACTTCACCGACGGCGGAGCTGACGATTCAGAATCCATCGACTCATCCGGCGAGCCCTGGCGTCCACTATCAACCTGGATCCTGAAGCAGAACCCCTGTGTTAAGAATCTTTCCGTCGGAGAACTGACATACTGGCTCGAAGAACGTGAGACCTACCGGAAAGAATACGCCAAGCATTGGAACCAGATGTCCGTTGACGCGATACTGTGTCCCGTTGGTCCTAGCGTTGCGCCCAAGCATAATACAGCGAAATACTGGCCTTACACTAGTCAATGGAATATACTAGACTATCCGGCGGCGGTGTTTCCTGTGTGTAAAGTTGACAAGGACGTTGACGTTGCACCGGGACATTTCAAGGCGATGAGTGGGCTGGACAAGGAGAATTGGAAGCTGTATGACGCGGAAATGTTTCATGGGTTGCCTGTCAGTTTGCAGCTCGTGGGCAGGCGGTTTGAAGACGAGAAGGTTCTGGGCATTTTGCAGCATATCGTGGAAAAATGCGGCTTGCCGTTTCAGGAGTTTCCTTAATTGCGGGGTGGGCTCGTTAATGGGAATAATGTGTGAGAGTTTTATGCTAACAGAAGCACACCGGATGTTCTAACTAAGTGTAAAAGCCGTAATTTGGTGGAATCTACGGAAATATCATTTTGTGGATCAGAAATTTTCTCTACCTATCCGCCCCGCCTCCATTAATCATGGAGCTCATAATATATATCTACAATAAGAAAAAGAAGCTTTCCTAACAGCCCACAGTTCTAAGCCCTATGTCCTATAATCTCCATTAATCGTTACATACTCATGACTGAAATCACAAGTCCAATACACGGCCTCTTTATCAAACTTCTCACTAAGCTTAACTAAGATTTCCAAATCCTCGCTCTCGAGCATCTTCGCAGCGCGCTCCTCATCCACGGCCTCCGGCTCGCCTTTTACGAGGAGCTTGAGCTCTTCACTTCCGTCCGCTGGGACGAAGCTGACGGATGTCTCTTCAGGTACAACGGACGACACACCTTCCGCATATCCCGTCGCGCAGAGAATACGTCCCCAGTTGGCATCTTTGCCATACAGCGCTGTCTTTACCAACGGTGACCGTGCAATAGTAGATGCAACGCGTCTCGCATCATCATAGGTCTTCGCATTCGTAACTTTGATCGTTACGAACTTGGTCGCTCCCTCTCCATCTCGGACTACTAGCTTCGCGAGGTCAATCGCAAATTCCGTAAGCGTTTCCTGCATCGCCTTGAAATCAGCCGATGATGTGTCTTCGATCGGCTTCCCCCCTGCTGCGCCGTTCGCAAGGATAGCCACCGTGTCATTCGTGGATGTATCGCCGTCGATACTAATGCTATTGAAACTCTTAGTGACAGCACTTCTTAGAAGACCCTGTAGCGGCATCGGGGCGATTGGCGCATCTGTGCAGATTATTCCAAGGAGAGTAGCCATATTTGGATGAATCATGCCTGCACCTTTCGTCATGCCAACCAGATGGTATTCTTTGGATGAGGAAGGAAGCATGAAAGTGCGGGAAACGAGTTTGGGGAATGTGTCTGTTGTGCAGATAGCGCGGGCAGCGGAGAGCCAGTGGTCATGGGTGTCGCCGAGGTTGTAGTATACTTTTGGGAGTTTGTTAGTGATCTTTTGAATCGGGAGGCTGCTCGCTAGTCAGCCCATGTCGTTTGGGATGGTTCGAGTTGGGCAATGCTTACCGTTGGCCTATAACGCCAGTGCTCATTACGATTGTCCTACTCCCGTTTCCATCATCTTCTCCGTTGCTGTCTCGCATAAAACATTGGTCCATCTGCTCCCCCATCGCTACCGCATCCTCTATCCCACCCTTCCCCGTAACCGCATTCGCACAACCCGAATTCACGACCACGGCCCTGACTCCGTCCCCTGATCTCCTTTTTAGCATCTCCCTCGACACCGTCACCGGCGCCGCCTGGAATTTGTTCGTCGTGAAGACCGCCGCGCCCGAACATGGCGTGTCCGAGGCAATGAGAGCGAGGTCGTCGAACCGCGTGTTACTAGCCTTAACACCGACGTGCGCGCTTCCAGCTTTGAAGCCGAGCGGATATGTGCCGGATGTTGGGACGTATTTCTTCTTCGAGGGTGGGATTGCGCCTTCGCCGGGGGCGGCGTATGTGCGGATTTGGTTTATGGTTCGGAGGCAGAGGAAACGGGTATTAGGGCGTACGAGAGACATGAAGGCTAATGTATCGTTAGAGAGATTTGATCTTTAGAGTGGAGTGGAGAAGCAATGGAGGCAGGGCTTTGCGCAGGGCCATGACGCATAGCTCTCCCCTAACATTGAAAGCTTGTGTAGGTTGTGTGCGGGGTTCAATTGGAGTAGATGAAGGCCGAAATACCTAAGGGGGAGATTATCCTAGCCATTAGAGATTTGGGTCGCCCAATTGACGTCCTGCGTGCAACAGAATATCTAGTTTTGAAGTCCTGGTCGAAAAATCCAGAGGTCGTTTGACCATTATCACGTGTCGCCGCTAAGCTAGATTTAACCTAGCTCCAGGGTTTCGCTGACGCGTGCGCCTTATCCAAGCAGCACAGAAGGCTTTGTTGGATTTTGCTTGCAAGTCATTGGGATTATCATTTCTACATAATATTAATCAGAGCATGGCCTTGCACTTCCTTGTCTTCACGGCATTTTAGCTACGGACAGTTAAATCGCGCCCAGGCCCGGAAGGAGCCCTACGCCTGTGACCCGTTCATCCTCCTTCACTAGCCAAGTGCCCAAGGACAAGTGTGGAATCTCCTGAGGCGGAAACCAGACAAATTTTGTTGCTAGTTCCTTTCCTTCCCTCTTGACGAGCCATCGACCTCCAGCCCGCGCATTCAGCTCCATCGTCTCCACGTCCGGAAACTTGAGGGCGAACAGCGTCAAGTAACGGAGATTGACCCCAATTATTTGGAAGAGGTTGCAGATTTCTAGCCTGGTTCTGACGGTTCCGCTAACCCATGAATATACGGTGATTCTCCTTAGGAGTGGCATGTAGCTCTTGATACTTGGAGCCAATGCCTTCTCCGAACCGAAGGATGACCAGGACATCTGATCTCTAGCGAGAGTAGCCGAAGTGCCGACATGAACGTAGAAAGTATTTTCACCATATAGCACTGAAGCAGCCTCTTGATGGATCTGCCTGTTGGCGCGAAGGATCGTTGGATGCAACTTATAGCCAGGATCGTGGAGATCTGGCCAGACGGGATGGCTTTGGATGAGTTGAAGAGGGATGTTCGTCAATAGCAATTCCCGGTAGATCTGGTTCTTAATTTCTCCTGGAAGACCCTGGAAGCGGAAATGTCCAGGCAAGATGGGAAGAATTAACTCCTGGGACCGTTTCATAGCACGCCACTCCGATGGTCTTGGGTAGCTGACCAGGCAAGGTGAAGTAGAATCTGAAATCTTCAAGTTCTGGATGCCGTCATCGCGGCTCTTACGACTACCGAATGTGTAGTTCTTGAAGAATTCGTTGGCTGGCATATTGATACAACAGTGATCTCGATCCATCGCCCCTATGGGACGAAGGAGATTAGGTAAAGTTTGGATGATCGCGGAACAAATACAGGAGAAGAAGATAAAAGGTTTTGACAAGTGGCACCGCTGAGGTCATACCCACATTCTCCGTCAGTCGGTTTTAGAATCCGGTCTCGAGTACTGATTTCGAATCGTGCTAGACAAAAGTGGAGTGGAGAAGTAAAAAAATGAACAGCGCAGCACTTTTGAACTGTCAGAGTAAGTTAGATACAGCAGTTTTAGATGCACGACTGCAAGCTCATATTGAGTACCAGCCTGAAATTGCGAGGAAGTCCTTCGAACTCCTGTCCTATGCCCTTGCAGATCATAAGATATATGGCAGAAGGAAGTGTTGGTGAAACCCTAACAGCCGGATTATGAAAAGTGCAGAGCGAACAACGCGAGCCCGCAATGTACAACGCCAATGCGATGCTAAGTGCTCTGGAAAGTTCAGCGGAAAGGATCCTGTATACACATTGGCACGAGCTTGCTCGCACTCGGCAACGATTGGCCCCCATCAACCAACGGGCTTTAAAATCAGGCCTAGCGTCGATCCCTCAGTTGCATCCACCTCATCAATCATCGGACTCTGTTTTAACTTCTGACATCTGTTCAGATACCCGCCCGTTCCCCTAATTCCACTCCGTCGTTTACGCTGAGTTCTTCTGATGAAATGAGCTTGAGCCTTTGTGGACACTCTACCCAAGCGCGAAAACCTCGACATCAATCGGGACTTTTGTGGTTTCCCTCTGGCTCTACCCGTTCGCTATGTGCATGAAACGCTGCAAACACAGCCTGAAGGATCCGGCCTCATTTTACACCCACCAAGTGTAAACGCCGTCCGTGGTCACACAATACGGACCTATTTGATTAATCCCAAAATCCGCTGACATGCATCATATCATTCCAGCCCCGGAATTGGGAGAGCGAGCACCCACAGCTCTGCCTCACACGTCGATTTCATTTGCCATTTCATCCCCCATGTTACTCAAGCATGGGTGCGATACCCCAAGTCCGGATTCCGTTCGTTTCCCACGTCTTGTCATCGCCCCATCCATCAGGGCGGTATCTCTTGTTCTCATGCCCACTCCCAATTCCCTACCTTCCCTTGTCTCTCAGTCAGTCCTTTCTCCATTTTCTTCACCCCACGGTTCTCTGGAAACCTCTGGTAGTCCGTACTGTCGGGACTAGTTTCGTTTAGTATGACAGACCTTACATCTTAGGACGAGGAACATGAATATGAACATGAACGTACCTGCCATGAGTCCATTCCCTAATGCAATGCCTACAAGGCATAACAACCACAACCACGACCACCATCACAACCACCTCCATGCACGAGCAACACCAACGCGCTCAAATCTTGGCCCACTAACAACGACCTTCACACCACCAGCGCATTGTACCCGCCCCGTCGTTGGCTGTACGACATGTAGCAGCGCGTGGGCAGCTCAATCATGCTTTAGCTACAATCCCACTTCCAAAGGCGCCATGGATGATACAGCATGCTGGCCAAAAGCAACATCATATCCACGTGCTCCTCCGCTCGCAGGCCTAGGCTTTTATTCCCCCGGTCTACTCTGCCCAACTGGCTACACAAGCGCATGCTCAGCTGCATCTCGAGCGCCAGGAGACGACTTACGGACGGTAATAGATAACAACGGGCCTGTCTCCAATTCCTTCCAATTCCCACTGATAGCAGGCGAAACGGCTGTAGGTTGTTGCCCGACTGGATTCACCTGTACGCCATACACACAGTACGGATGGCAGACATGTCACGCCGTTATAAGCTCAACACGCCTCGACGCCTTCGCCTGCGATGGCGGTACATCTCGGGATATGTCAAGCTTCAGTCTCCCATTCCAAGTCGGCGCAAAAACAAACGCCGTGACGGTTTCCACCGTGGATATCTGGGCGCCACTGATCCAGCTAAACTGGCAAAAGACCGACCGATCCACATCAGGAACTGCTTCTAGCACTGAAACATCCGCTGCAAGCGCGAACTCCGACGCACCATTTAGCCTAGCTTCCAAAGCTGCCACTGGTGCAACCCTCACAACAACAACAACGACCACCCCCTTCACAACATCTCCCGCTGGAACCACACAAAGCAGCGGTCTCACACTCGGCGCAAAAGCCGGGATAGCCGTGTCCTCCGTGATCTTGTTTCTCTGCCTGCTGAGCATAATCATCTACATCTACATCCGGAAACGGTTTCTCCAAACACCTACACGATTCAATCTCGCAAGCACTTCCGCCACTGCAAAATCCGCGCCTACCCCAAGTCCAAATCCGGATCAGTATGGGAACAACAACAGCTACAATGTATACCCATACCCACACGGCCCTTCCAGCTCCCAAGGGAAAGTGCACTTGGTATCCGCATTTAGTGAGCCAATTCCAGGCAGTGCGTCTACAGGAGAAAACAACTGCAATCCCTCCACGTTCGACCAACACTCCACGTTCAATTTCGGCTTACCGGCCCCAGGTACTCCAAGCTCGCCGTCAGTTTCCAACTCCAACACCCACATGTCACCACGAGGTCTTCCGGACATCCAGGAAAACCGCGTCTCCATCTATGAACTCGGGCCCGGCGACGGGCGTGAGAAAATCGTGTCGAGCGAAGGCGGCATGATCAAATTAGACACAGATGCGGTGCGGTTTGGCAGGAGTCTGGGGATTGAAGATGATCTTGAGAGCCCGATTGACGGAACTAGTCCGTTTCGGCTGAAGCGGGGAAATACATTGCCGAGAGGGAAGAGGGGGGCGGGAGAGGGGGCGAGTGGACAGGAAGAGGAAGGAGGAAAAAGGGTGAGTGGAGGGTTATGGGGGAGTTTGGGGGGTTGGAGGGACAGTGGGAAGGCGCCAACAGTGTAGGAGGGAGGGGAGAGGAGATATAAGCCGTTTATGTGTATTTGTACAATACGCCAGTCGCGCTTCTTGCCGAGGACCAAGGCTGGGTTTCACTGCATAAACTTAGCGACACCATGCACGAAGGGTTTGGAGTTATTTGGTGTGATTTTGGAGAGTGTTCTATATAGCTTGGGGGTATCCCATACCATCCATAGTGTCTTGAATTGAATCTGCAAATATGTCAATACCGAGTATGCATAATGGGGTTTCCTGAACAACACACCATTGAAAGTAAACCCAAACGCCACTCGCCCGTGTTTGATACTCCGGGGTATTATCCATGTGTTGATTTGGCTGCGGTCGGCTTGAGCTAGCCCATCTGATGGTGCAAATCTTCATCAAGTCATCTGAACCCTGGTCGTGGAGACGCTCCCAGATGCTCGCAATCGAAATCGACATCGAAAACATAGAGCGGGACAACGCGGCCTCAGTCTCCGGATGAGCATCCGTTACATCCACAGCTTACGCACTGGATATCCCGGCCGTCCTTGAGGTTCGCCTGGGGGACGCGACAAATACAGGTGGACTTGAAGTTAGTCTCCTTAGTCTGAATACAGCGAAGGCAGCAGAGCTATCACAAGTTAGCTGAGTACTTGCATCATAAGCCAAGTGAAGGGAGAGGGCGGAGGCATACCTTTTCGTAACCCTGCTTCTTCCACTTTGCAATCAACATAGGATCGGCATATCCGTTCTTCAGCAACCAGTCATACAGCTGCTTGCTGATGGCCTCTTTCTCGTAGTAGAGATCGTAGATGTACCGAGATCCTGTTTCTGGAGTTAGAACCTATGCCCGACTCTTCACCAGTCCACTCTCGCTCTGCAGCGGTGAGACGTGCATCTGGTGGGGGTAATAAGGAAAGGATGAAAGAGGCGAACATACGCTGGTGGGTGATCTGGAAGATGGGCCACAACATCTCGTACTTCTTCTTGCCCTCATGCGACGCATTCTCTGCGTCCTTCATCTTGTTGTGGAACTCGAGCAGCGTGTCTTCGATGTCCTCGAAACCTTCTGGCGGGGGCTTCCTGTGGCGGGCCGGATGGCGGATGGGTGGCATCTTGACGAGGGATTTCGCAAGAGAGTCTGAGGAGAATGTCAACAAAAACCGTGATGTGACCACTATCGATGACGGAAAGCAGGGGTAGTGGGTAGGCAAGTCTGGGTGTGGTGTGGTGGAGGGGAAGAGGTAGTGGGCGGCCGTTTGTGAAAGTGATGATGAGCCTTGGAAGCCCTTGCCGCCCAAGTTGTGCACAGACGTGCCAAGGCCAGACCTCACCATCGTCAACCCACCTGAGCACTGCAGCATCTTACAGCTTAAGCTTCACAACCGCCACCATGGTCATCAATCCCACGTATCTGGCGCAAAGGACGCGCTCCTGTTAGTCAATTCGTCTCCCACTTCTCTTCCCTACGTATTAATGTTGTTGCAGCGGTCAATTTCGCCGATGCCAAACGGCGTGTCCTGCATTCGTACCGGGAGTGGCTACGAGCAGTACGTACTACCCCTCTTCCTCCACAGCTCTCTGGTGAATTGCAATAACGGCGATATATTCCTTGCAATTCGCCGTGGCCAGGTCCATTGTAAAGACGATTGCTAACTCAGCTGGCGGCAGGCTCCAGAGATCCAACAGATTTACACGCTCAGTCTGCCAGTCTCCGCCATCCGGACCAAAGTGCGGCAGGAATTTGAACGGCATCGATACGTGAACCAACTACGCACAGTCGATGTGCTTCTATTCAACAGTCACCAAGAATTCCAGGTACCATAGCTCGACCGGGGCATATCATGCTACGTGCGGTGAGACTGATGGCTAAGCAGGAAACACTGAATTACTGGAAGCAATTGCCTCAGGTCCTGAAATATTTTCGTGCTGATGAAGATCCAAAGGTGAGGTTGCCAAGGAACTTCATCAACGGCTTCTTAGAGGTACGCTCATGTCCCACACTTCTCAACCTTGAAATATAGTCAATCGGTCTAACGGGTATATTAGGGCCGCAACTGAATCCTCGCAAAGGGTCCAGATATTCAGAAAATACACATTGTACATAACCTCAAATACCATTTCCTTCCGTCTGCGCCGTTTTCCTTTTCCCTGGAACGCCAGAAATGCATGAGTATCATTGTGATATATCATGATTTCTATTGTGGGTTCTTTGCATTGAAGTCGTCTCGCGCGATCGTGAATTTGTCGATGACTACGTCGCAAAGGTCCATCAGATCTTCTAGTCCTTTCTCGAGGACGGCATAGACGTTGACGCCATCTAGTCTTGTCAACTCACGTGAAACATCATCTAGAATCGAACACTAACCGTATGTCTGAATCCTCAAATTCATCTTGGCTTCTGAGGGATGTGGTATCGAGTAACCACAGAATTCGACATCAGGACTATTGTTGATGAGTTCCAGCTTTCGGAAGATGGGTTTAGAGCCTGACTTTTTCATGATGATATATCTCAAAGCATTCCCTAGCGTATGATCCTCTCCATCAAACTGAAAACTTGCCGCCGTATCGGTAGCACCAGCCAACTAGCCCACAGTCAGCGACTCCACCATCCATCTCACTTGCAAACGTCGAGCCCCAGCATACCACACGGATGCGATCGCGATCCGCAACATCATCTTCCTCCTCGATATGCTCTATATCCGTCTGGACGACGGGCACATTGTTCGCGGATTCGGTCTGCGTTTGGCCTGGCATATTGGCGTTGATAGAATTTCCGTGAAGATTGGTGGACTTTGGAAGTTGCATATCAAAAAAATTAGCTTTGAGCCTAGCGATTTCAGCCCTGCCAAGACCCACCCCACGTTCAACCCCTCATCATGCATCCCTTCCTTTCCTCAGCCAGCAGAAAAGCCAGCGTTGGAAAACTGTTTCTACCCATTGACTCACCACCACCCTCTCTTCGCTCAATTGCATCCTTCCTTTTGCTATCTAACGTCATTCCCTTCTCTCCTCCCCCCCCCTACTTACGAAAATGGCTCGCTCTGCATCCCTAAACCGCGACACCAACGAAACCAAGATCCAAATCTCCTTAAATCTTGACGGCGGGACCCTCGAGCCCTTCCAAGCCTCAAAATTCTGGGATGCCATCGACGCACAGCAAACAAATGGCGAGACAAAAGAACATGCTAGCCAAAGCAGTAAAAGCCAGGACATTGCAATAGACACGGGAATCGGGTTTCTAGACCACATGTTGCATGCGCTTGCGAAGCACGCGGGATGGAGTTTGAGAATTCGATGTCGGGGAGATTTGCACAGTACGTTCGCTCAAGCCATGACTCCCCTAGAGTCTATCTATGGGGTCTATGTAGATTGAAGTGTATTCCACCACTTCTAGCCCGCTCAGCTCGGCCTAGAAGGAAAGGCGAAATGTAAACGTAGCCAGTGCTTAAGAAGTTAACACAACTCCTAGTCGACGACCACCACACCTCCGAAGACGTCTGCCTCGGCCTCGGCCTCGCCTTCAAAACCTCTCTCCGCACCTCCACCGGCCTGACCCGCTTCGGCAGTGCCTACGCTCCCCTCGATGAAGCTCTATCGCGCGCCGTGATCGACCTTTCTAACCGCCCCTACTCTGTTATCAACCTAGGACTCAAGCGGGAGAGAATCGGAGATCTCAGTTGCGAAATGGTGCCGCACTGCTTACAATCGTTTGCGCAAAATGCGGGCGTGACGTTGCATGTGGATGTGTTGCGCGGTGATAACGACCATCATAGGGCGGAGAGTGCGTTTAAGGCGTTGGCGGTGGCGATTAGGATTGCGACGAGTCCGTTAAGTGGGAGAGAGGGGGAGGTTATGAGTACTAAGGGCGTATTGTTTTAACTGAGGCAGCGTGGGAGTTGGGGGTTTCGAGGGTGGGTAGTGGGGTGAGTGTGCATTCGCATTTCACATTCAAAGATCACGTCGTGTCGTCAAGATTGAGCGAAATACTATCGTCACACTTGTTAATACTCTTAGACGGATTGTTACTAAGAAATCCACAGAGTGGGAGAGCAAATGTTGAGATCGCCTTAAGCAAAACATGCACATCTTCAGTCACAACCTCGAAATATCTTAGAAGCACATAAGTCAGGATTTTTCATATAACCTATCGTAATCCCGCATAAAAGCCATTCTGCCATCTCTGCATGCCATGCATCGCAGGATATCCATCAATGAGTGTAAGTGTATGTGTGGGGTGTGGGGAAAAGCCCTGGGCAGGCTAGCCCACATAGAGCAATCATTAAAACCATTTATCAAAAACCAGACTCTAGGAAAAAGGCAAAACAAATTAAGAACCTAGGCACCATTCAGCACGGCACATCCAAACCTATACACAAGGCCAAGGAATGTGCGCCATCAAACCCAGCATAACCGCCCGGTTGCCAACCCATCAGCTATGCGCCATGATCCAAGAATGGAATATCCAGGGTCAGAATGAGACGCTATCAGACAGGGCCAGCCAAATCAGTTTCGTGGGTATCATTCATCGTGACATCGTAAGATTCAAAGAAGTTGCTGTCATTCACAATGGGTAGGACACGTCCACATCAAAGTATGTGGTACTCGTCGAGATATTCAGAAAGGTCCAAGTGGATAAGTGGGTATTCAGAAGAGTGTTTGCACACGTCGGTTGAACCGGAAGGATCCAAGAGGACTAGAGTCCAGAGGTAGAGTGGGGCCGTACTCCAGGAGATAAGAACCAAAGGGTAGGCCAGAACTTCGTTGTCGAAGCCGCATTCACAGCACGCTTAGAAGCGCGTCGTAGAGCTTCGCGTAAGGGATGGACGAGGTGCCTTGGAGGGAGAGCCGTTGGGAGCAACGGAGGCCCTAGCCCCAATCTTCTCGAACCCTTGCAGCATGTCGATGCCTGGCTCCGACTCATCACTGTGAAGGAGGTGGAAGATGTCATCATCTTGTGGGATATCAAACGCCTGCGGCGGGGTTAAGCCAGAGTGACCAGCTCCAGTTTTCGGCAGAGACAGCTCAGGAAGTGGATTGGAGGTCGGTGCCTTCAACGGAGACTCATTGCGGGCTGGAGAGTGGAAAGCGGGAATGTTGAGGAAGGATGTCTTCCAGTCTGGGGTGGGGGAGTTCATGTTGGGTTTCAGTCCAGTAATGTCAGCGAGAATGCCAGTGGTGGTGGCTGCACGCTCGAGACGTGGACGCTTAGCGGAAGGCTTCGATGGAGACTCTTCGTAGTGGAAGTCGCCGAACACATCAAAGTTTTCAGTGAAGCCTTCTCCAACGAGGTTAACATTCTCATCATTTGGAATACTGACTGCTGGACTCCAGGTCTGGGTATTCATGAAAGACATGTCGACCCACATCGGCAGGCTTTTATCAGGTGATCCACCGACAAGCTCACGCATGCGGTTCCGGTGGTTGCGAAGATTGGTGTTGGGGGAAGCAGACGCTGGTGGAAGGGCTGGCCGCTTGAAGACAATGGCAGGCGTGAGAGGGCCATCTGGCCTATCCGACATAGTTGGGCGGAACGGGGAAGATATAAGCTGGGCTGCGTTGGGTTGCTTCATATAAGGTCGAGGCTTTGATGGGGAATCGTAAGAGGATCCGCGGATTCGGGCGATCTCTTCCTCGGCGCGTCCACGCTTGAGAATAGGTCGCTCAAGGTCAGCTTCGGAAGTCAGCAGTGGGCCCAGTGGGTTGCCTTTGATCGCAGACGACTCAATTGAAGAGTAGTAGCCGCTATCGCCAAGACCGGTGAACTTACGCTTCCGTCCTCCAGACCTGCTGTTGGACGGAAAGCGCGGGACACGAGGTGGAGTGTCTTCACGTGCTTGGCGAGCAACAGGGGCTGGTGGAGATGATTTTATGTCAGCGGATGGTGGCGAGGATGGTATCTGGCGTCGCGGGGGCATAGCTATGCCAAGATTTGGGTCAAGTCCGTCGTGGGCGGCGGGGTCTGAGCAGGGAATGGTTGCATCTGAAGACAAGTCATTCTCTTCTGGAAATTTGGTGGAGTCAATGCTCTTAACCACAACGGGGGGGGGCGGGAAGCTGGCAGACGTTGATGTAGTTGGGCGAGCCAGGTCATTGGTATATGCCGGGACAAAGCCATCAGGATTGATGGGTCGTCGGGTCGATTTGATCTTATGATACTGCTTCTCAAAGCCCGGATTGATGCGCCAGTAGTGACCTTTTCCAGGGTCATCCTTGGGTCGCTCTTGTTTTGAGAAAGATTTGCTCAGACTAAGGTTATGGCGGATGCTGTTCTGCCATCCTGTGTCCTGAGTGTTACGGTAGAACTGAAACGTCTCTGAGATCCACTTGTAAATCTGCGCCAGAGTCAAGCGTCGGTTCGGTGCTCGAAGAATAGCCATGCCAATGAGGTTTGCGTAGCTGTACGGTGGCTTCTGACCGTCATCTTCCAGTGCTGGCATTTCATCTGGTTCCGGCAAAGGGCCTTCTTCTTCAATGCGTACCTCGCGGATTTTCTGTTTCTTGCTTCGGTCGCGAAGCGGTGCTGCGTCCGTCATTGTGCGCTTGTTTGATGGCTTCAGCGGCGGGTCTGCGGTAGGGATGTTCGGGAGAATTGGGAGGTTGTGATCTTCATGAATAGTGTACATGTTCTCCTTGTCGAATGAAGTGGGGAAATGGGTGAACAACGATGCTCGATTGCTGGCCATGGCCTGTGACTGCCTCGGGATCGATCGATGGGCCTTCTTGATAAGGGAGTCCGTCTTGAAATTCTGCACCGGTGGCGGTGGTATCTTGACGTTGTTGAACCCGATCTCTCCGAGGGCACTGGGAGGGGGTGAGCTAGAGACTTGTCGAGTCTTCCGCGGCGACGGTGCATGTGTGTGGTTCTGTGGTGGCTCCAGGAGGGTGTGGTGGTCGGTGGACACGTCGGTCACGGATCCAAAGGCTTCTAGGAGGCGTGGTCCGTATGAGGAGACTTCATGGGGGTCGGGTGAGGAGATAGGGTCTTGAAAAATGTGCAACGGGGTCTGCCGACGCGTAGTAGCCATGGCGGACATGGCTACCAAGCTCCCAGACGACCTGGTATATACTTTTAGAGAGCTATGACGCGTGAATTCGCGTGAAAGTTTTTCAATATGGGTCCGTGGGAGCTCAGAGGCGCGGTCGGGGTGGGCTTTGTTGTCGGAAATTGCGATGACGATGGCCGAGAAGCAGCGAGGTTGAGAGGAAAGTTGATGGCAATGAGCAGTCGTCAAGAAGATGCTTAATAGGATGCACGAGATAATTCTCTAAGGCAGGAGTCAGGAGGGAAGCCGAAGTTGGGCGTGGGCTGCCATCTTACCTGTGGAGATGGGTTGAGGCAGCGGAGAACGCTCGCTAGGCTGGCGCTAAAAAGCAACGGTGGCGACGGGAAGATTGGGCAGGGCTGGCTGGAGCGATAAAAGGGCTCGGGATAGCCGAATGCAAATGGGATATTTCGTTAAAGTAGGGGTAAGATGGGTGCGAAGGCAACAGGCGAAGGGAGGAGGGGGAGAAGAGAAGAAGAGTTGGTGGGCTCGCGGTCCGGAGAGGGCGGCGACGAAGGTGACAAGAGGCAGAACTTGGAACGCCAGACTGGCAGGGGTGGGGAGCGCTTGCCTGCCAAGCCAAGTCGACAGACGCAAGGAAGGCGCAAGGGAGCATTGCCCAATCACTGCCTAGTCTCGACGCGTCGCCGGCCAGTTCTCGATCGATCGCGTCACAGCCACAGGCTTCTTCCTCGTGCCTGCAGACGAGCCACTCCTGCTGCCGTGCTATCAAAGCCCAATGTTTCTGCCCTATGTTTCCTGCTGCGTGACAGTTCAAATTGCTTCTTCCGCAGAGCACATCATCGTCGGTCGAGAGGAGATGTGCTCGTCAACAACGCGTCGGAGTGCGTAAACATGCTCAGCATTAACGCGTCTAAGAACCCGCCGAAGAGACTGAGACAACAGCGGTCGTGATAGCCCATCCCGGCGGTTAGTGGTTCCCAGCAACACACGGAGCGACGATGCACAGCCTATCCTATTGCGTCCGTTCTATCGATACCAACCATGGGCATGCTGAAACTCCGACATGGCACGACGCGGTTCACCCCGGCCGCCGCACCTCAGCTCCACCAACCAAGCCTCACCACGCCATCACCGTGACTCCACTCCCATAGGAAAAGATACAGTATCATGCGGTTCCCGGTTGAACTCTATCTCGCTCGGCACTTTTGTATCTTGCGGCCCTGACACCACCAAGGACAATGGCTGTCATGTCTCCTGCATCGTGATACTCTCGCCTCAGGAGGGCAGACTGGAAACCCATGGTTAACTTCACGAATGGACTCGGCGGCTGCCAGACCCAAGGAGAGCTTCCATGACGGCTAACACGAGTGGTACACCACGTTCTCGCTACCATGGCATCCATCTCTTAATATATATCAATCCGTAGGTTCAGGGACCCCGCTCAACCAAAATTTCCACCTGAAAGCTAGCTCCACTTAGACATTGATTTCTTTCCCATTCTTTCCCACTGGTCTTACCCCTGAATTTCTCATCGTGAGCTGTTGATGGATTGCGGCACGGAGCTTGACCTAGAGTCAAATATAGGAGTGCATGCGGCCAATAAATCAGCTGACCCCGAAATTTTGGATCACAGACTCATGTGATGTCAATGGCTTCACCCCATGCAAGTGCGTTCAACTCAACAGGAATTGCACCAGAATTGACTATGGAACACGAGTGCTGAGTTAGATACTAAATGTCAAAAAAGGCTATCGAGCCTAGTCTCAATTCTATGTCCAACAACGCGGAATGGGTCCACAACATCATTTCCATTCTTGGAGCCTGACACAGGAACGTGCCAAGGGGCGTATATGAATTCTGATAAAATACTTGCCGATTCCAACCGGTATTAAATTACATGCAAATTCCTCAAATGTCCTGCGTCTTACCACCTAACCGGAACATAGTAGAGAGTAATTCAGGACAGAAGCTTGCATCCTATTAGCCTTCTCCTTGGCTCTAGTAAGAGGAGGAGCATAGAGTTGGCAGTAATTTTATTCCTATTAAACCTTTCGTTGTCTCTTCTCCAGAAAGGGTTTACTTTAACGGAGAGGTGAAATGGATGGTTCTTACACAACCATGAGCTTTGGGGTGATGGAAAACGAAAATTAAGGAAGGTGGGTAAGTGGACGGAATCAAAATGACGTGTGATAGAGAATTATGAGGTCACCTTTCAAGATACAAATTCCTCTTGTGCTATCAGAGTTCTACAAAAAAAAAACCGACATTGAAGATATCATTTCAACTCTGCAAGGAATGTTTCGCACCAGGCGCCGTTGTAAAGGCACCTGCACGTTAATTTTGCGAGGGAAATATCGTTGACGAGGGGGAATGAATACAAGAAAGACAGACAGACAACGTACCTATTGTGAAGATGTGCAGAATATTGATACAGGTATGTTCTCCGCTTCTTCCATAAGCTCACATATCGCGGTGCAGAAAACAGGCGTAGTGGAGATGAAAACATTGCCAGAGCAGTTTCTGTCGGAGGTGCTGGAGCTGTCAGGGCTGTTCAGACTATTCTTGCGTTCTTTGTCCATCTCTTGTTCGACTCATACATATATGCTCTTTAACCTTTCGTCTTTTATACATGCTAAGTATATTCCTGGGCCCAGACATTCATCGGCTTCTTCAGCTGGCCGTTCAGTAATGGCTCTAACGCCGAAGAAGAAGTTACGAACAATCGTCCTAGTTCTTGAGTATGGTTCATGTGGAGAGCGACAAAAACTCTACCCGCTCAACCTCTCGAGTTCGGTACTTAAGTTTAATAGCCCCTGTGGCGAACTATAGCGTCGGCCAGCTGGCAGAAGGAGTGGCATTCTGCAATTTGTACCTTTTCTGCGCCTCGTGCCTTTCGAATCCGTGAGAGGCCCGAGTGACGAATTTTATAAGATGCACATAATGGGATATGTGTTCGTTCTAAGTTGCAGTTCCACTAATGGCCTGATTGAGGCCTGTGCCATGTTTTGAGAGAACATTCACGGTCGGGAAACCCCATCTAGGCTAGTGTCTCCATGAGAGGTCCAGCAGCAACGTTAATGGGTCTACTGATCTACTCAGTTTGGGATCTCTCCTGAGCCGGTCCTCGGCGAGTCTGGGGGTGCCATCGAGGTTAAAGCTAAGAAAAAGTGCGATATCGATTACGTTGGGTTAGAGAGGGAGAAGTGCATCCTTTCGGTAGTAGGAGAAAGGCTTCATCGGGGATTTGCCTTAACGGGATAAAGCTGCCTATGGTTTCTCCTGTGGTAGATATAGTCCGGCAAATTATATGATGCAGTTATGTAGAGCAGGGGGCTGTGTAGGGATTACAATACTCCATAATGTCACTAAACAGACCGATCAATGATGTGGGGGTACCGTGTAGATAAGCCCCGTGACATGCCCAATCTCTGTACCAGGAAAGTACTGTTGCATTCGGTTCCTAGGCTATAGAAGATACAGTGTCAGCGAGAAATAGAACTATTTGTTCTGAAAGATGATAGAGGTCAAAATCTAGACCTGCTGCCTTAGCCAAGGAATCCCGGGCTTTCAGGTTTGAAAATAATCGATTATAGTCTGATGAATCACAGTTGCGTTCGTCTACATTTATAGCGTCTAATTGGTATTCACTTCCGAACTACTCTAATTTTCCCGGGAAAAGGTCTTCCAAAACGCACTGCAGTGTGCATTGATTTCTCTTTTAAGCTGTTCATGTCTTTATTCTTCTTCATTTGGTAAGGCTCGTAGCTTTCTAGATGGAAAGCAAGTAATTCAATGTTCCCTCAAGATTTTTAACGCGAGAGTACCCCCGTTTGCAAAAGATTGCAGGTATTGAGATTTAATCGACGGTGTGATGTGCTTGTACCTTTCGTTCAAGGTGTGAAGTAACTGGAGTAGCCTCTGCTTTAAGCCTCCTATGCAATCTGAGTTGGTGATGCCCTCAATGAGATCACTTGAGGCAAAAAGACCCACAGAAAGACGCCCTGCCTAGATTTATTTTCTCAAAGGTTGCCAGTGACTTGGTAAGCATAACTCGATCCTGGGCATATTGAAAAAAAAAAAAAAAAAAATTTCGCAGAAAATTTATGAGCTTAGCTTCGTTGGATCATTGAGTTTGAATTCATTGCAGCCGTCGATGAGAATAAAACGTCCTAACGCGGGAATCCGCCCTTCATGAAGGGACTATTTGGAGTGCTTTTCGAAGAGAATTTTTAGTAAATCCAAACTCACAGCTAAGCTGATCTAGTTTAGGCACCCAGAGGATTTTAGCAGAGCGACCGCATTATACCTTTGAGACACTTCTTGAGGAAATCTCTTGGCTTCTAGAAGAAGTAGTTGATGATGACCAATATTCTGTCGCCAGCCTAAGGGGTGAGAAAATGTTTCAATGAAGAACTATGGGGGAGGTATTTCATCAAAGCAATTTTCCTTATTCTTGGTTCCCCAGATATCTTGAAGCAGGCTTGTTAGAATCGCCTAGTTGAAGCCATTCTATGAAATGACCTTCTCGCTCGTTAGTAATTGGGTCTGCATTGGCGGGTCCTAGAATCTACCCAAAGGCATTCTCATGAACATCCCTTACGTCGTCTTTCCGGTCGCTCAATGGGTCAAAGTAAAGAGTATTCAAACATTGGCACTTGTCCTTCGGGGCCTTCTCGAGGGCGAATTAATTCTCCCTTAACTGCAAGAACTTACTGTCGATATAACTCCCTATATGCATATCTCTGATCTTGCCTAGGAGCTCGTTCATCTTGTTTGTTAAGTTTTGACTCACTTTCTGAGTTTTTTTTTGACAAGACAATCAAAATTTAAGCCTATTCAAGGCGAATGAACCATGGACTTTAGGAATATATACTATCCTACACATGAATCTGCCGTTGGTTGATTCTTCGTACCTTTTTGGTTGCGATTGCGGAGCAGCGTGGAGCCCCGTCATTACAGTGACGGTATGCATCGTAGTTGGACCGTCCATCTTATCCATTATATAGTGTGATTCTTCCAAATGTTCCCTCTTCCGGGATGTTTTGAACGCTGCCGTCAAATCTGGAACCCATTTCTCTGGACTTTCAAATTATCTACGCCGGCTAAGTATTGATTCGAGTGAGTCTGGTGCAGTCTGGTGCAGTCTTGCAATTCCTTGTCGTCTGCTAGTCTCGCATTAGTGGGTTTGTAGACATCTTGAGGCACACTTTGCCAGACTTCGAAACTTTTCTGTTTCCATCGGATGACCATTGGCTGGCTCGCGGGTTTCTTTGGCTGTTGTGACGATGCTGCGGGTGACTTCAATAAGCTAGATGATGCTGGGTGTAAGGCTGACGGCTGTAAATGCTTCCATTTCGATTATTTTGACGATAAAACAGATCCCACATGAGGAGATGGTTGTTGTTGTGAGAATAAAGTAATCTTGAATGAGGAGGCGAGAGGGAGACTAGGATATTTCTTGTGCTTAGGAGTCCCGCCTATACCACCTGAAATTCGGAAGGTTGTACAGGCGCCTGCTCAACGAGACAGAATGAGTACATGCATGCATTAAATGGGGTTCGCCGCTTCAGCCCCTATCAATGACACGTTCAGGTAGATGGAATCCGTCCCAGAGAAGGAAGGCAATGGTGACATTAGAAATGTAACACCTGGGAACGACTGTAGAGACGGCAAGCAAAATGGGCTATCTTCCTCATGTTGCCGGGCAGGACAAAGCTACCTTGTGATGCAGAATTAGGTTGCTGATTCGTGATCGTCTGATAAGTCGTTCCTCCAGTTGAATGTGATTTTAAACTCTTTTTGATAATTTCCCGATTGAAGTAGTCTAGAAACCAGTTAGTGCGTAGGGGTGAAAGTTGAGAGGATTAGGAGTGCAGGACCCGTTAAAGCGTTAGGAGGACGCTGTCTTCTTTCTTGTCTGCTGCGTGTGTCGATATGCAGTAAGAAGGTGACCTGGCAAGTATAGATAAAAAAAAAAAGTGTCAATTGAGGTGTAACAGCAGTTCTTCCAATGCAGCACCTCAGGTGGTGCCAGGTAGAATCGAATTCTATTATCGCACCGAGACAAAAGAAAGGCAAAAATGAATTTGAATATAATGCATCGGCCGGGAATCGAACCCGGGGCTAGCCGATGGCAACGGCTAATTTTACCACTAAACCACCGATGCTACGCATTCAGAACATATTCAATATGTGTTATTTTTTAATATATAAACCACTGCAATGCCTCGAAAATCGTCTTTCTCAAACCTGTACTCAGCACTACACTGCCGCGCCTTTACATGAAAAGGAAACCCTATAGGGGGGAGCGGAAGCCGCTTAACTAGGTTTAGGCGTAAGTCCACCCCAACTCCCGGCGCAGATTACGAAATGTCCGCACGGACCAAATTATAAACTTTAGTTTCCAAGATCTGAGCCGAAGTCTTGTTTATTATAAATTATCTAACTTATAGAATTTGCAAGCTTTTCCGTAGATAAGCCATCTAGTGATGCCCAAATATACAGTGACAACTAGCTGTCGCTCCATAAGTATGGAACTGGCGCTTATTCTTGCGCTGCATCCTTCCCCTTTTTCTGCTTCTTTGCTCCATCTCCTTTCTTCCGATCCGATTTACTTCCTTAAAAAACATTCCTACACTTGAGATTTTAGTTAATTTGACTAATGATAACTCAGACTACGATCCAGAAATCGCATGAGGGCTCGGGGGGAATGGCTCACCAGGCTGGCACATATCTACGTCGTGCAAAAAACTATAGCATCGAAGGTACACAACGGATAAAAGAACATTGGAAAAAGCTCAAAAGTTAACTTTGTCATTTTTGTGTGTGAGGCTGACCTTGGTGCAGGTTCTCCAAAAAACAATTGCGCTCTCGGGAAAGAGGAACCATCCGTGTCCAAGCCTTAAGTAACAAAGCCACGTCGCGAAGGGATAGCCATGACGAATGCATGAGGGAGTCACCTTACTCTAGATCCTTCCGTGTTTCATGGGGATTGCATGGCGATGCCTGGAGGGGGGGCTTCAAAGGCCGAACATTGCACCGTGGAAACATGTGGAGCATTCTTAGGTCAAATAATGTCGCCATATAAAAATAAACATTAACTAAAGAAAGAAAGTGGAGCTTAAAGATCGAGAATAGATATGAGAAACTGGACATGCCATCTCCATCTCATTCCTCGCTGACCAATGCGTCCCGCGATTAATAGCTGAGCGATTGAGCCTTATCTTGCCTTCGCCTTGAGCAATGAACTCGTCGCGGGTCGGAGCCATTGAGGTCCTGATGTATAGTTAAACTAGTATTTCGATCCTCGCCGGACCAGAAGCGAAACCTTAGGAATTGTAGGTAGTAATTTGAATCATCTAGGATTGAGGCCACGAGATAGAGGCGGGCCCGAATCCGAAATTGGCCAGACGGCAGGCAGGGGGTGCCGTTCGTTGTGGTCGCATGGCTGTGACGTCATGTATCATCGTCATCGTCCACGGGCCATATAAATGGAGGTAACCGCCACGTCACTAACCAATAACTAGGTAGACTTTGAGTATGAACAACTTCAATGTTAATACCACTCTGATTTCGAAGGCATCCAAATCTCATATCAATCATCGCCAGATATCACTCACTTTACTCCCTGCGGTTCAGAATGCGACCTATGTTCAATTTCGAGTCCTCCATGGCGATATCGCCAATATTAATTCATTTTGACCTTTTGTGCTTAGCTTGATACATACCCAATCTTAGGACCTGGTCCTGAGGGGTACATTAAGCTAGCTCGAGCACCTCCCCAGAGAATCAACTCATTTCTCCTCAATTCTGACTACTACAATTAGTGACCCTCACAACAATTCCTCATAATTCGACTCTTTGATGTCGACGATGCTGGGAAACTCGTATTGTGCTTGTAATGCAGGAAGTGTTTGCGTGCTAGTGAAATGGCGGGAGATCGTAGTCATTTAGTTGTTACCCAGATGGATCGGTGGAGTAGGGAGTGTGATTTTCGGGAGCTCTCAACGGAAGTAGAGTTCACTAAGCTCTGCGAGTAGCGGATCCCAAGCTCGCCGAATGGCAACGCACGGATTTTGATATATAAAGAAACTTGGTGTAAACATAAAGCCTTTATTAAATTTGCTATCTGCACCTGGGTAACCTTGTCCCTGCTCTTAGCTTTCAGGGAAACAAAATCAACGAACACCCTAACACAAAGTTGCATTTCTATGTCTTTAAGTTTTAGCACCTCATTGAGAAACTTTAGGGCTTACCGTGTGGATTTCCTCGCGCTACAGAAGTTTTGATTATGATGTTGGTATAATGTTGTATCGATGCACAATCTTTGAGAGCACTTCAGGCAGGAGCATGAAGCGCAGAAGGGAGATGTAGGGTAGAATTGATAGATAAGCACGTGAGGAGAATCATCGGTTTGAGGAAGTATATACATGTGCCTAGGGCTGGACCTCCCAGGTTACCGTGACATAATGAATGTTTTTGTGGGGGGTGGATTTAGATTCTGCAGGGTTAGCACCCTGATAAAGAGTATGTCGATCAGGTGCATGATGCCAAGGAGCTCGCGGAGCTGTGGGACGAGTGGAAGAGACCTTCGCCAGGAATAAGCAGGGAGAGTTGGAGATTACCGAGTGAGTGAGCAGCGAGGGCTTGATTTGGGAGTGTGTTGTACTGTTTGTCCATTTGCGTGCGTACGAGTTTGTGTTTTTTACAGGTAACGGCATGGAACTGAACGGAACTTGACAGCCTATTGCGGAAGGCCTTGTGCTGTGGAATTTCCGCTCTAGGGAGTAGGGGCAAATGAATTCAGGGTTTCCTTTTGGTGTCATTCATGTTGTTGTAACTCCCTCGTAGCGTCTGACCTGTCTATAATTGCAACCCCTCCCTTATAATCATGTACTTTCAGGGGTCAATGCCCATACTTCCTTTACAACCATCTAAGGCCTTTATTAATAAGACTTCGTGTTAGCCAAACCTAACCTTTCCCACTCGGTCCATATGAATGAGTATCTTCCCCAGCATAGAATAGACAGAACTACTAGAACAACACTATATTCCCAACGGTTGTTTATGCAAAATGTCTCCACAATACTCAGTATATTGGGACTGGGTCTAATCTCGATGAAGCTACTGGCCGAAGGAATCATCTGGTAAACTGTCAAAATCTAGGGCCGGTTGCAAAGGCAACGGACGTTTTCTAGAAGGGTCATGGAAATCCTTGCCTCTTTGGAAGTCTTCTACACTCAGCTCCCACGAGTGCTCTGGATTATCCCATCTCTGGGCGTCAAGCTCATTCATTTCGTAGTGATCTCTGACCATCATCCAGCTAGTGTCGGTGAAGATCCTCCTTCGAGTTTTGGTTGTTCTTGATGGAATGTCGATGACGGCGGCGCTACCTGGAAGTGGTCGCCATTTGAATATGGAATTTTTCTGATGGATATTGAACCTACGGCAATTCACTTCGAGTTATTTTCCACAGGAGACAATTAATAGGCCCCCCCATCTTAATTTAGTAAAGTAGGAGGCTCAAAGTTTGAGCTTGCTGAAGGCATGACCGCCCCACAACTCCCCGATGAATTTGAAAGATGTGATATAATTTGTTGGCTTGGCATTTCCAATGCTTTCTTCTTGCACTGTTGTATGATGTCCACAAGTCGTTCCCGAATTCTTGAGATGGCTGGAAGCTCTTCTTCCAGGGCTTTCGCTAGAAGCTGATCGAAGTTCTCGCTCAAACCAGGCTCCTCATGTAGCAATCTATTAGTATGCCCTCTTTTAAAAAGTGTGGGGAACACTTACAGGGAGATAAAACATGCCCTTCATTAGGGAATAGCATCTGGAAGAGGGTTTTCTACTTTTCATCCACACTCTGATATTGCGAAAATGGAGTCCAATTGAAGGTGATATACTGTAACTCCTGCAACAAATGCGGTCATCGTCCAGATTTGGAGACGGTTCTATCCGGCAAATGGGGTCGTCAAGTAGGTGTTTGTAGCAAGCAGTGTTTGAGGCCATGTTTACTCAACAGAGGGGGCATTGGATAGGCCGTGAATGAACCCGCTTTAGATGATCTCTAAATGAGTGCGTTAACTTTCTTCCACTAGCATATAGGTGGGGTTTGCCTTACTTCAGTTTCGCCATGTCTGTAAACCCGGCACCCCTGCAAGCATTCCGTGTGTGCTTAATAGAATTTCTCTGGTAATATGGGCATTTTAACCTCTTTATAATCCCCTCGTGGTGTTTCAACCCCCCCAAACTTTTCTTTCGTCTCCTACCGTCGTCGCTATCATCAGAGTTGTCATTATTTTGATCAGAACGTTTCCCAATACCCCCTCTCCTCTTTTGGGTTCCCTCACAATGACGAAATCCAGACGTACAAATTTGTTGTGCAGAGCTCCAAGATCTGTGAGCTAGAGGTTTGTTCTCCGGAGGCTTCAGGACTTTTTCTATTGTGGGATCGGGCCCCTGCAGACGAATCCCCTACTACTTTATGCTTGTTCTTGGAGAAGGTTGACGACAAATGGGATGGCAGACTCGATCTATAAGACTTGGCAGTATTTGAGAGCGCATTTGAGGTCTAGGTTCCATTGTTCACGGATGCCAATTCCCCTCTCCACCCATGTGGAATATCGATATGGCCCGGTGGATGTCGTCGTTCTAGCTCCGTTATGGAAATGTTGCTTCCTGTGGGATTGAATACAATATAGCGCTGATTTGGACAAGGAACATCCACTACCCTTTCTTCATGCCCTCACCGACTCCGATATAGGAGAGCTACTCGGTCTTGGCCCAAATTTAGACTCCTCTGAGCATGGCCACCCGGAAATATCTCTCTCCCCACATCGTCCTCGGCGGTAGAAACCTTCCCCTCCTGCAACTCTGCCCGTTGGAGTTTCCCTTACCCCTCTAGAAATCCCTCATAAGAGGTTATGGAAGGAGAAGGGGGAGGGCTTTCCGGAGATGGTTTAACTTGATATGACTGTCGGGTGCGCATGCACGGAACACCTACGTCTGATCGGCCCTAAGGGTTAATATCGGTTAGAGTCTTGCTATCAGGGAATTGCGTCAACCACCGAGGCCGACGTGCGAGCAGGATTGCGAGGTTACAGAGTTTCAGCATCAAGAGCAGGACTAAAATGCACACCACAAAAGTTTTTGGGTTCTGATCAAAGGTGAAAATGCTCTGCTGCGTGCCAAAATATGCGGTAACTACGACAAGAGGAGTCGTAAGTTGATTGGTCTAAAACATTTGAGATATCGACCGACCGATGATGTGAGTGCTGCAGTTGCCTCTAGTCTTTCTAGCGTGACACGATTATTTTCCATGCTCATTTTTTGGGCTTCGCGATTTAAGGAAATTATTTCGTGATGTAAGGGGTGGCTTTGGTAACTCAAGTCTTTACTTTCGAGATTTAATCTCATGGTGAGCTTTCGGGGTGAGTTTGGGTGGAGAACGCAAGTATAATTAGGTCAAGAAAGACTTACGATTTTCGAGGATTCCTCGCAGAAGTCCGTTAGTGAAAGCAACGCCTACTCTAGATTCACCAATTGCTCGAACATCTTGTTGATCTTATCAAGATTCTTCTTTAAGCTTAGCTTTGACGTATCAAAATGGCGACTATGCCCAGTGGGAGCAATAAACTTTTCCCAGGCTCGAATGGTGATAGAAAGTCGCCCCCAGAGCTTGCGGAGAAGCTGCATGGTTTGTATGATCTAGTCTAGGGGTTCTTGCACATCCTTAAGTGGCTCTTTGGTGGAACGGCGGGACACGAAGGCGGGATGTTCGGCTTCCTAGGCACCACATTAGACCGGTACTGATTTGTTCCCACTTCAGTAAGTAGAGAAGGGAGACTATACATATCGTTTCAACGCCCGTTGCGTTTTTCGGATAAGTTGCTCCCACTCCTTGCGAATTTGCATCATTCGAATATTAACCATGAGCAATGTTTAGGAATGACACGTCAATGCGTTCCCTTGAACGCGTATTGTGGGCTCCAGGGGCTGGTGCGTTCTGTGAAGGCGTATGATGTAGTCTCAATGCTAGATAAGACAGGTGGAACTCGGGCCGGGGCATGGAAAACGTGCTAGGCTAACATTTGCATGAGTAGACAAGTCCAAAAAGCTCACAATCAATGATCTTTGGTGTTAGAATGCCAAATGTCTCAACATACCGAAATATCCACACTGATCGAAGTTTGGAGGGCAATGTGCTTCCAAATAGTGTCTCGTAGTATGGGCACTTGATGGCGAGATGCAGTCTCGGCCAGTGCGCGGATGTAGCTGGGTCAAGGTCCGGAATGTAGCTGTTGGGTGTCAATTTGGAATCTTTACCTTTGGAGGAGAATTGGGGTTTGGGGGGTAAGGGAATGGGAACTATCCCCGTCCACTTCGAGGGTTCGAGCACGACCAAGTGACTTGGGGAACGAAACTACAATGTCTCACATTAAACGGCGGTCAGCATCGGGTATATCCCCAAGGCCAAATTGCTGGTTTATTTTAGCTGGAGAACTTCCAAAGGGTGTTCAGATCATGTACAGCCGCATACCCTGAGTGCCAATGCATCTTTCAAGTCCTCTGCGGTCAGCCGGCTTACATATTCCCGAGACAACCCCGTATATTTCTCTCGGTCATCCAACCAGATTTTCGCCTCTTTAGACGACGTTCCTATGCAAAATTCTTTCACGTCTTCGATTGCACTGGAAGGTACATTGCCTTCACAACCCTGAAGGAAGATGTCCAAATTATCCTCACAAGCCTCAGGGCCTTCTAATTTCATGCTGTTTCGTTTAGACTGCACATAGGGGCTATCCTCTTCGAACGGTTGATGGTACGGACCGTTCGAAAAGAGGGAGTCCAATTGCTTGGTCTTTCTCTTCGAGTGTAAGCGTCGGACCTTACGTTTTGTGTGAAGAATGCTTCTGTGGGAATTCATAGCCTCTAAACAGGGTATAGGAATTCTGGGCTAATTGGTGCAGCAATAGGGACGAGCTACTCTGGAGTTCTGGTTACCCTAGTAGCATAAAGTAAAACTCCACTATGGCGAACAATAAAAGTAGGGAATAGGTTAACCGTCTTTAAGACTAAGAGCTCATTGGTTAATAACAACGTCTAAAAATTAATGTCCGAGTCCTCTTGGGTGGAGACTTGCAATTTTCAGTTCGTCGTTTAGATAAACTTGGGCTAGAGGCTTACATTCGAAAGTATTAAGATGGGAAAGCTGTGCCACTAAGTGGTTTGATTGAAAATGTATTATCGGTTGGAGGCTCTAGGCAAGAGATCCGATTGTTCACACCAATATGTAGAGTAGTGGAGAGGACTGCAATTGAGATGGAATTCATTTACTGGGGGTGTAGTCGAATATCGGAATCCAGAAGGCGGTATACGTCGGAAGAAGGTGGTGGGATTGGTGGGATTCTGGAGAAGTGCCAACATGTCACTGCGTATCATATATCCTTCGGCCTCTTAGATTGACGCTCTTCAAAGCTAACCTGGAAACTGAGTGTGACAGACGCCCTTGTGGCCTCGTACTGCCTCTTTAAGGTGGGCGCAGTTGCCTCGTCGCACCTAGAACACGTAGTGGTGCCCGCTTCGACAATCAGGCATTCCCGATGGTGCGGTTAGGCTTTCCATTGGGCTTCATTTAGGGTGGCTGTGTTTGAGGCTCCACTTACACAATGACAGCTGTACGGGAATCGCTCTTGGCTTAAATGTGGCGGTTAGCGGCCCCTCCGGATAAGCAGAACGATATTCTATCAACAGTGGAATGGGAGTGTAAGGCAAACCTTAGCCTTGTCTCTTGGTTGGGCGATCTTGTGATAGGGCAAATTCTGTAGCTGTTTACAAGAGAGTCAAGCTCAAGGTCGAGTTGGAAGCATAGTGAAGCTTAACTTAGCTTGTTACCTAACGCGCTAAATAGAGGTCCGGCCCTCTACTTTTTGGAGTCACTAAGGACTCTTTGAAAAGGTGCTTGTTAGCTGCCGGCGTAGCAGGTTAGTGACCATTGGAGCAGTTAAAATAAGTGCCAGGGGCCGGGGTCCGAAGCTGTGGGATTTTAGTGCTGGATAATTTTGCATGGCTACTTTTCTACTCCCATTTTGAGTTGCTCACAGCTATCTAAACTGCACACATTACAAAACCTTGAATACAATTCCCTGACGGTGCTGTAGAACTCTCTACCAGCGCTGAGGGATTGTAGTATAACTGAACTACCGATGCAGTTTATTTGTGTTTTGGAGCGCCTTGAAGGCGGCACCTTCGCTAAGCGCGATTGACTGGCTTGCGATTTCACTCTTCGATTGATGCGGATTTGAGCAAATAATGCCCATGTATATATACGGTGTTGACTATAAAATTCAAATACAATGTGGCGCCTGAATACAATGTCCAGACAGGGCACCACTCGATATGAGTAGATCTAACTAAGTTGGTCTTACGCAGGGACTTTTAGACACCTACCTTAAAGCGGTGTGTGACATGCGAAGCCCGTTGGATGTTCCCCATCGTTAAGCTGATATTTACATGTCTTCCCGCTCAGTAGAAAATCTATGGCTTGGATACAAGAACAAGACAACTTACCTTAAAGGCTTATCATAGCACCGCGGCTCAGTGCGTTCACGACGAAGATCAACGCGAGACCGTAAGTGCTAGATCACTCAACAATCCCGATCCTAGCATGTTTACTTATAACTCTGCCACTCGCGGAAAAATAGGCTAGCTTCGAAACCCTTGAGTCTGGTCGTGGCTACGCTCTGCTATCCTGCAGGCTGGCAAAGCGGTTGTGGATTACAGACTCAATACGAGTCGGGTAAAGCCATGCGAATTGATTTCCTTGATTCTTAGTCCTCATAGCGTATTATTCTTGGAGTAGGACTTCAGTTTAGCCCTGCATAAGTGCAGCATTGAAGAAGATTCCTCAACTGAACAATTTCAGGAAAGCCCGCTACTTCATCCTTATGCTTTGCGATTCCGGCCTTCTCTTGCATCACGCCTATTTCTCGTTGGCTTTGTTATTGTGACCCTCTATTGCCAATGGCTTCTTTAGCTTCCTAGACATGATCTCTCCACAAAATACATCCCAACCAACACTCAGTAATGACTCGCAAACTTGGATGATCCGAGATATGACACGCAAATTTAAGAACTACTTTCGAGTCAAGATCATTAGGATATCTTAGGCGCCAGTTAGGACGGTGGTACGACAGTCTTCGGTGGATCTATCATCCAGAAATTCACAGCCAGGCAAAGCCTACTCCGGAACTGCCTCTCGGGAGCAGTTGCCAGTGGAGGTGAGAGATGGTCAACTGAAATACCCCCATCATTCCTCTTTTGGAACGACCAGGTAAAAATGAACGATGGATTGTCATCCTGCCTTTTACTCGTCAACGCGCGGGTGTCGTCACCTACAGATGCATTGCCGCCTGCCGAATAGCACCCAGTATTGACATTGGTTCACCGAAAGAATCCTAGAAAGATTTCGCAAATAATTCGAGATTCTTCAAGAAGGAGTATTCATGTGATCGACACGAATCTTTGCAATCTTATAGCTTAGATGCTGGAGTTTTCAATTCATGGCTGTGTTATGGAACCGTGATTCATTTCGGATGAGAAAGAGGGTGTAGTTCTGCCGTCTCATGATCGGGGAAAACGAGACAAACATGACCAATTCTAACTTCCATCCTTCACACGTGGATTTGGAATCTCAGCCAACCTTGGGAATCCTTCCTTCTCTAGCAAGGAGCGCAACATGATGCCGTAGCTCCTACCGCCTGGCTATACAAAGCCACGCAGGAACGCAGTGTCAATTCCATATATTGCAGGCCACCTACTTCCTTCCTAAACGAGCAACCCATCCGACCCACCGCTAGAGTCTTGCACAGACTCGTAAGACCTTCCAACGCTTCTGCGACTAAGCCACAATGACTGGTCGGCCGCGCAATGGCAAGCTCCGCCAATGTCTCGACGTACATCTCCAAGGCTGGATCGAGAAGTCGAGAAGATGAGAAATATTGAAATAGGAAAAGTGCGTGCAAGCGAACAATATAGTCCAATATGTAAAGCAACGTCAAATAGGCAGTATGTGGGCAATGGTAAGACAACCTGTCCGAGTTAGGAAGCGAGGTTAATTTGCCGGGGATATTTGCAAAATGTAGAAGAATTGGCGTATGCGATTGGAGCAATGAAAGCAAAATGATGGAATAGCCACAACGTTTTCTTGAGGAAGGAGTGTAGTCATAGAGGATTCTTGTGCCGTTGTGCGACGAAAGTGGAAGGTATAAAGGTAGGCCGTTTCTCGAGTCGATGTTAATCTTTTCTGCATTCATTTCATCCACAACTTCCAATTCAGATATATCAGGATGAAGCTCCTTCAAGCAGCCCCATTCGTTGGACTACTCGCTCTCCATTCGTTCTTCACACTTGCTACCCACGCACGAAAACTTGGTTCATCCCGAAACTTCTACCTGGTCACCTGCTCCGACAAAAACGAAGGCGACTACGATGCAATAGCCTACTACGCAGATGGACCGCAAGAGAAGCCCGAAGACTGGCCGGACAAAGTGGCTCAAGTCAGCAAGCCACCAGGGACCTGGGAGGGACATAATCGTGAAGCCAACATCTACGACGACAGTTGGTTCACTGCAAAGATTTCAAGTGGAGCCGAGCATTTGAAGAAGGGGGAGATCGCTGGAACAGGAGACTTTGAGGGGGAGGCGTTTGTATGTTTTAAACGAGATGGAGAGACGTTGTATTCCGCTTCGGATGTTATCTGCAGAGAGAAGTATTGGTGCCCATCGGTTGATGTGAGTGAGGGTGGGACGACAAACGGCCTGACAACTGCTGCTTGATCTGAGAGGGGGCGTGGTGATGCGTTCATATGAAAAACTCGAGGCGTGATATCCTTTAGTAGGAGGAAACGCATGGCGTCCATGGTCGGTTCATGACCAGGTCTGATTCAGAACAGATGACTGCACCCTGTTGGTGCTATTTTCAATCCCAGTAAGATGTTTGACGCCTGAGAATCACTATGCAGGGGGCTATAGTTGGCCACAATATGCAGTGAATCTCTTGTTTTTGTTGAAAAAAATGTTATTTCTTCAACCGATGATTCTTGCCACTGCTTAGACCTATCTCAACTTCGTCCTAGATCTCTTTAGTAGCACATTTTGGCGCTGGTTGCACCGTGCATGATTTCGGTACTTCTAATTCCGCCCTGAGAAAATTACATGTGGCCTTTCTAGGATCATAGGCTCAAGCGGTTCTGTACGTGAATCCTGGTGAGGACTTGGGCGGCTCCGGTGTCACTTAACTAGCTGGTCTGTTGTAATATAATTTTGATTGATATTCGTACGTTCGGACCATTCAATGGGTGTTGCATGGTGCCTCGGAAGTATGTTCGTCATCTTGGTGAAAATCGGAACCATCTCCCCTTTAGGAAGTATTGCCCGCACCAAAACTGCCTGGTGGGACTTCAGCGGCTCCTTCGCCATCAGCGAGGACTTCTCTGCCTTACCTTGCGGAGTCCAACCCTTCGAATCTAGGCCTAGCGCTGGCGGAGAAATTCTATAGTTGCGACCTTTACTGTTTGCGCAACCTCTAACCGAGCCGTGTTTATGGAGGATTCCATTCCTAGACGATAATTTTCGGTAGCATCGATCTCATACAAACCAAATGTATTCTGAATAAGCTGTTGTTCCATTCATGGAGGGATTAATAGGGTCTCCAGAGGGTCTATGAAAGAGGAGAGATCCAAAATCCCTGATACTAGAAGAACGCCATTGCGGTTGACCCTCGATATCCGGGAACGCTTTCTGTTGCTGACGACGCTGGCTAATTATGCATGTCAGTGGCGTGAGTATCGTTTCAAAAAACAGGTTTAGAACCATTTAACCCTGATTCTAATGATTGAGCCTTTTAATAGTCTTGCTGATTTCGGAGAACTAGAAGGTGGAGGGTGTGATGACGATAATGGTCGAACTTGGGGGTATGTTGAAATTGTTGTTGATTAAAAGAGGTGTAACTGCTGATGGCCGTGTCGGTAGCTGATTGGTCACCATAGGGGTAGTGTACGAGAACTAGTATTGTAGGTAGTGGTGGTAAACATATGGCCTAGGAATTTGTTATTTATGCATACTTCGTGTGTCGTTCTAGAAGAATCTCACCTTTATAATATGTAGAGCTCGGGAGAGGTGGGGAGGGGGTGAGGCGCGGTTCGTGTCAGACAAGACTGTGTCCATATTTCGCATGCAGGAATCTGAGAGACCTAGGTAGGATTGTTGTCTGGTGCCAGCTGTCAACGGCAGCCATTTTCTAGTTCACGCAGCATTGCTATAATAGTTAGAATCTAATTGAAAGGTTAGACAAGACTTGATTTATACTCTGAACGTCAAAAGCTGTGATCCCAGGCGGGGCCTCGTCTATGCTTACTACTGGAGTCAACACTACAGGAATAGTTAAGTTAGTACCCTCAAAGTGGTGTTCGCGGGGGTGATAAAGCCCAATAATCGACCAGATATGAAAAGTCAGGCTAGCTATTATTAGGATCGTACATCTCTCTTGCTACGAGTCAATTACTCGTATAGGGAGTAGAGTTATGTTGCTCCTTCACGATGTAGGGCGTACTACGTTTCGCTTCGTTACCACTAGGACTTGATTTTCTGCTTTGACGTCAATAAACATCGCGGTCTCTAAAGCTGGTTGTCGGATGGTGGTAAAATTAGCAGTGGTCTTTAAGATATGGAGCCAAATTGAGTGGGAGGTCCAAATGGATGTCTGCCTACATTGTAGCTCACCAACTTAATCTTGTACTGTAACATGAGTCTCCCCACATTGCGTTAGCGCCAGTGTGACGAGGGTCGTGCACATTGTTACAACAGAATCCGCAAACTCTTCTGGTGATGTTCAGCACCACAGAACATATGGATGGGGGTTACCATCTCGCAGTTGCTTGCAAGTGCGGCGTCTCTTTCACCCTCTCACAGATGCTCACCCGCTTGCTCAGTCTTTGCCTAGTTTTGCGCATCAGAGATTGGTATTCCGGTCTAAGTTCACAGTATCGAATCCTCTGGAAGAAGACCTTCTCGCCACCTATACGCTGAATGCGCATTTGCCCACTCAAGCAGTGCATCGTAATCCGTACATTCGTGTTCCGAGCCTTCGCCAGGACCAGCTTCTGTCTTACCCTCCAGCGTCGTGTCGGCCGAGCACATTATTCCTTGGCGGAGATAGTTGAAGCAATGAGCTGAGTGGTGGGCCACTTGGTCGATTAATTTGACCCCTCCGTAACCTTGTTGGAAGTGCTCTGCAAGGTACGATAGGCAATGCAGTTGGTGAAAAGCGGACATCATGTATCCTGGCCCATTGTGTTGCCGATCCAGTGCCACCTCATAAGGTTCTGGCAGATCGTAGGGACTAGCATCGCCTATCACGATAAATCCTCGGCTATCTGGAATAATATGTTAGCTGTGTATGCCCTGATTCCTATATATACCAGCGATAGACCCTACCCGAGCTCAGCTCGATCCAATTATGGAGTGTACGGAGAGTGACAGACTCGTTGAAGAACATGTCCTCGCGTGCATATCTCGGATCATTGCGGAATGTGTATATCTTTCGCGGGACTTGGTAGCACGTTAGCAGTAGCATACTGACAAAGCATCATCGAAATATAGCATCAGGCAAGACATACGTCGAGGTACTGGCGATTTCCTAAGATTATCTCTCGCTGGAAGGGGTCGGAAGAACAAGAGGAATACGATTGCTGAGGCCATCGTAAGATCAAGAAGCAACCACAGACACCACGTCACTCGTCTCCGGGGATTGCGATTCTCACGGCGAGACGTTGCGGCATGTTCGTTAACTCGAGACTGGGAGAGAAAAGCCTGGCTTTCTTCTTCGAATTCCTGTTTCCTTGGATTCATGATGCGAGAACGCCTCCAAACTCCAACCCAACACCAAAGAGAGTATATAAGTATTTCAATGCTGGTCTAGAAACCGACTTTAGGCTGTTTCACTATGCTATCGAAGTTGTAGCGTGATGGCGTTCATTCCCCAAAGGGACTAGCGTGTGCGAATAAATTAAGTTTTAATAAGGGGATTTCAAGGACACCGAGGGAGAAGAGGTGACATCTAGATTGAGCAACCTGTGCACATAACTAGCAATAAGCGTTCGAATGCCACACCTGAGTCTCCTCGATGTGCTCAAATCAAAGTTGATAGGTTCAATGTCCGCAATTACAAGCAGTTGAAGGAGTAGCAAAATGACCCCAACCGAACAGAGCCGAGACATGGGTTGTCAACCTGGAACAAATTTCCCCACTACTGCAAAATCTGCACCACAGTGTAAATGCACCACCTTCCAGAAACAAGGGTACTTTCGCCTTTCGATTGTTCGGCACTTTCTACTATGAAGATGCAGGAGGCTGCGTGTCGCCAGCAATACACAAAAAGTGAGGAGAAAGAACGAGAACAGGTAGCCTGAGTGCTTTGGCTTCATCACATGCCACCTTTCCCAACCTGCGTTAATCCAACATATTGGCTTAGAGTGATGCTTCAAGCATACTGAGGCAGGCCAAATTGTTAGTATAGACATTCCCATAGATATTGCACACTAAGATCGTCCAATGTTCCGTAAAGGGTTTCCCATGCTCCGCCCGGATGCCTCTCACCTAGGTTCTCAAAAAGGGAATCTGTAATTGTCTCTTCGGTAGGACGACGCACTCAAAGCTTTCCTGCCGTACAACAATCCTTCTTATCATCTACCAAGACTGAGGCAGTGTTCTTCGTGCTAGGCACGTCGATGGCCGGATTCGCCGTAAAGAAGTCAGAGGGTCTAAGGTTGACTTGGAAGATATCAACAGGCCTGTTATTATTCCTCCGTTAGTGATAGGACGCTAAATCTTTAGCAGAAATTTTACTCACATGACAGGCCAGTCTTCGACTCTCGGGTTGTGGGTGAGACCGAAGACACTCCAAATTACCACATCTTCATTCACTACTTCATCGTTTCGCTTCACCATATCCGCAACACCTCCTCTTTCTAGCTGGGACTGAAGAGTGAAGCGGCCGGCGGCATATAGCTCATTATCCTGGTACTTGGTCACCCAGACATGGTGTTGGCCGAAGAGTGCTCGGTTCGCTTGAATAGAGCCAGGAGTTGCAAGAAGCTTCTGAGTCGGAGGAGGTGTGAATTTATAAGCGACCGGGCTTCCACTGATTGGATTCCTCTTGTTAGGGTTGATGACTTTAAAAACGCGGTTGTGATGGGGCGCTGCATCCAGTCCGGCGGAGCGGTTCACGATCGTCTTCCGGACCTCGTAGAGGTTCCCGTTTGGATTTTTTTCCTTATCCCAAGGGGCTGTATGTGATTCTTCATGAAGCACAGTGTTCGAGTGTCCGTCGATTGCAGGATCAATGCGTGCACAGAATATGTGCTGATGGTTCTGCGCAAGTACTCCTCCAGAAACAACATTGCCATAATCAGAAGTCTTACCAGGATCAATGTTCACAACACTCACAATACCTGTAGCGCGAGCTTCGATCGTGATGCCGCCTGCTTGGTCAACTGGAATCTGTCAGAATCAGCCATATCTTTGGTATAATTCTTCGGCTTACATTTGAAAGCAAAAACATATTCGTAGTTTGCTAGAGTTATGATGAATTGGACTACGAGCTCTCGGTATCTGGTGACAACCGCACGGCCTGTTCTCCAGTTCGTATGCTTCCATCCAATCCCGTTATCTTGCTCATGCAAACAGATAACGTTCGGGTGAACTCGTGGTTCGCCAGTGGAGTCGACCACAACGCCGTCAAAATACTTTATCAGACCAAGACAGTCGCAGCCGAGGGAAAGATTGTTGGCACAATTTCCCGCACCTCCATCACCAAAATCAAAGGCCTGTTTTCGGTGGAATGGCGGACGCGGATCGCAGTAGGGCACTGTCATTTCGCTCAAGCTGAGACGATACAAAACGCTCCTCCCATCGTAGTGGACGTCGTGGATGACCGCTCCCTCGCGAGGATTGAAAGACACGCGGAATCTCCACTTTTGCCATTCCACCAAACTTTCATCCGTAATTTTGAAAGAAGGTCCTTCAGGCTGTGTGATATTGATTGGCTTTAGATCTTTTCGTATACCGCCTTTCACCAACTCTGGGACATACTCTCCAGCCTGGCAATGGTCTACAACACGTTCAGAGTGGGTCTTGCCGCTGAGGGGATCCCCTTTGCCCCCGGTTGCAAGCCTATCGACCCGGATGATTTCTTTCTTGTGGGCGTCCAAGATAGGAATGAGCGGAATCGGATACGCATAGAAGTTCGAATCCGCGTTTCCATTTCGGGTATCTTGTGCAAAACACAATCCTTGGAAGTATCTTCGGTTTTCAGCGCCGATGTCAAGCCCACCGTATGGCCACGGCTCGACGACTAGCTCAAAGCCATCCGGGAGTTTCAATTCCGCAACAGCGTGTTGCCACATATCTGATTTCTTACAGGCCTCTACAATAAGAGTTAGAGAAGCAAGTCTCAGTGGTGAGATCACATACCTAGCAATATTTGAAACTCCCACAGCGTCAAAGATGCGTGGTTTTCTTTGCCAATGACTTCATGCCTCACCCTCTTCCTAATACCTACATCGACAATAGATTCATGGTACTCTGGGATCCTGTCCGAGCCGACAATGTCGTACTGAAGTCATCAGGTAGGTCAGTGTCAAGCTAAGAAAAGAAAGTTTCACATAGAGCTAAGGGGCCTATACCTGACACTTTGCTAGGCGTGGTGGTCGCTTGGAAGTAGGAGATAGCTTTGCGGAATGTTCGAGGTCTAAGTACTCTTTCATCCCTTGCTTGGCTGGCTCCTGGAGGTAGATCTCACGAAAGTCGACGACAACATCGGGATGTAGGGAGAGAACGACATCTCGTGCAACCTGAGTCTCCTCAACGCTCAATATACGAAAAGGGTGAGGGGCCATGAAGAATGAACATGGAAGGGTAGATGCCCGTCTGTGCTGTATTGCAAATTCACCTCTGCGACAATAGCCTCGGTGGGTTAGCCTCGTTGCAAGGGAACAATCTCACCTAACACAGGGTCTTTGAATAATGAGTAGGTGTTGAAGGGGCTGAAGATGAGAAGCTCTGGGCTTTCAATAAACTTATAACAGGGACGGATTCGTAGTTATCCGATGAGGTGAGAAGGTGGGGTCTTTCAATAACGGGACCACTCGGACTGCAAGCCTGGACATACAAACACAGCGCTAGATACTTGAAGGGTAGCCACGTACAAGCTTGGAGAAGGATCATCGGATGGACCTTCTACGTCCGATCAAACCCACCTGAGAGTTTCCGGAACGAAGTTGACGTTGAACTAGGCTTTGAGCCGGCACCCTCGCGCTCCGTATTTCGCGCCGGTTCCACATCTTCGAGATCTAGGCTCGGGAATGTCCCTGAATAGTGGAGACCGTCCGCCAGATGTGGGCGATGGAAAGGAAAGATGACCAAGCGAAAGCCAAGAGACTATCTGATTTGTCCGCATATACCTTCTCATTGTGGAAATGATCGGCATTTAGATAAACCTCGACTTTGAGACTTCCTCTCGAGGACCATAATCGTGTAAGTCTTTCCTGTGATGACATAGACCTGGTGGTGTTATCAACGGCTTCTTTATCGCCTCTATTCAGGTGGCGTATGTTTCTACGGAAAAAATCTAAGAAGGCCCTGTTCCAGTACCAGAATCACTTCCGCTGTTATGCAGGGTTCCGCACCAGCAATTGTCATTCTAGTAGAGTAGTATTCTTATTAATGATATCACCACTCCTCAACGACGGTCAAATAATTCAACTTGAAGCGTCGAAAAGCACTTGGTTGTTGACACAGGCATCTAAAGTATGATTCTTGTTTCAGTTGCTCAAGCCAATCTACTTAGTACTGACACAGCTGGCTTGCATTTATCTCTAGTCGAAAGTCTAGGTGTTTTCGGAATGTTTTCATTTGGGTGACTTTGCAAAAGACACTTTAGGATCCTGAATTGGGGACTGAAATCTTGAAAATCTTCCCTAAGCAAAGGGTGGGAGGATGACACCCATATCGCTATGTTGGAGGTACCAAGGGATTTTCCTGGGTACGCATTCTCTATAATTTGTCGGGAATGCTGAGCAGCGACTTGGAGGTTACAGTCACACGTCCTAAGCTAGATGCTTGCTGTGTTCCATTGTCGATGTTGGGACTGGAGCGACTGTATTGTCTTGGTAGACTGGAGGCCATACATCTCTTCAAGTGCGCTGCATCGTTGCAAGTTGCGGCAGGGGTGTGTCGGATTCTATTTGAAAGGGTCCGAACATTCGATGGATTAGTCGTAGTGGATACGCCTTTCGCTGATGTTACAGAACCTGATATACTTCTTTCGGCGAATGTCTCAAAAGTTCGTGGGATATGTTACTGGGTCACCAAATGCGACAGGATCACCCCAAAATCCCTGTCGATAATATTAGCAGTGCAGCCGTGTAGTACACCGGGGGGAGAAATATGCGCCTACCCAATCAAACTCCTGGTTCTGCACTCCTGGAGTTGGTTGCAAATCACCCATAATATTGTTTAAATTAATATTGTTAAGATCATCCCAATTGAACTCATGCTGCTCTGAGGGTTCAATGTATGGTTCGGGTGGTACAGGCGGCGCAGGTGCAGGCGGCGCAGGTGGTGGCGGGTGTTGAATCGCATATGACGGTATCCGGTCCACGTAAACGGGCAAATTATAATCGGCCATGGACTTCTGGGGACCAAAATCCGGCAGGTGTTCCACCACCACATTCGCGGGGCTGACATAAGGTTTTTGTGAGGCACTCTGCTCATGCTCTCCAAGGACTTTCTCGATCATACTCTTTACAACCGACCAAGCTTTTGTGGTGTTGTTCTCTTTCAGAATTCTTGACATTTGTAGTGCTCGGAGTGCACGCTGTCGATCTGGGGCGTCGAAGAGTGGGTTTCGTAACTCTGAAAGAATGTGCATGATCCTAGGTACAGGGTCAATACGTAGCACCTACTGTCAAGGAAAAGACTGACGCCTGGAATGAAGCATGCCCTCCTATATGCCACTGGAAACGTGCCGCATCAACATCGACACTTGCTCCATTTAGAGTTTCAACGCAATTGACAGACTTTTCGAATATCCTATAGAGGGCGTTAGTAATTTGTAGAGAAACAAGCGTAAATATGAGGAAATGATCACAGCTTACGATTTTCGAATGTCTTCTGAGAAGACGACATCCCGATACACCCGAGGCATTCGAAGCCAGAACAGTAGATAACATCTCCATTCTAGTAACGAAGCCAAGCCAAGGCAAAGCCTTTGAGTCGGAACCTCTGGATTGCAAAACCTCAGATATTTCCGCCGGTTCGCATCGTGCATTTCATCAACCATTATCTTGATCTGCTCGTAAATGCTTGTTAGCTCCTGCACGGTATCTGGGCCTGATGTGCCATGCAGCCCACATTCAAGCATTCGTCGCTCCAGCCTATATGTGCTTTGAACTATTCGTCTCAAAGTTCGCATACCAACAAAGCGGACGAGCTGGAAAGTCATATCTGTAAATCTCTCTTCATCATATGGGGAGGGACCTGGACTGGCGCCATCTATAAGCTCATCGTCGTCGATGTTTCGTGGCATGAGTGTTGTGAAGTCATCGTCTGATATGTTTGGCTCTTGTCCTTTGCATTCTAATTACGTCGTTAGCAAACATTGTCTTACCCCTCTTGCATTATATAGCACATACCCGCCGCTCTATACTCGAGGTGGCATATCTGATGCCAAAGGCGCCGACGAATCTCGATAGTTATAGCGTCCATCGATCCGGAAGGAAATAGAGATGGGTCCCGATGAAGCCCTTGATTCAACGCAATTCGAATGGCGAGACCAAGTAAAGCCCATGCTTTTCCTAAAAAATGTCAATGGCGAAATAACCAAAGAACAGAATACTCACCCATATCATCCTCCTTTGTTATACAAGTCAGCCAAATGATGAACCCCTCCAAAACCTCCAGGCTTGAAGTAGTTAGAAAATTTTCGCGGGCAAGGCTGATCTCGACACCTTGTTCAAAGCGATATAAAAGGGTATCTTTCGTGTCTCCAAACCTTTCTTCGACTACTGAAGGAGAGAGGGAATTGATTGATGCGTAGAACACCGCAAAGGCGATTGGGCTTGTTTCGCGGATGTATAGAGGAAATTTTCTCGTCAAGGTAGGCTTATGAGTAATTCTTATCATGGGATCCACGTTGTAGAAAAACAGGTCTAAAAGAGCATCACGGTGTTCCTGGGTTTCAGGAAGAAGTGATTTTAGAGTAACCCCGACCTTCGCTTTACCGAGGGAGAGCAAAGAAACGAGGCTGTCTGCATTTGGATGCTCGCGGCCCACCATGTCTTGTTCTGACCGATCTCCTATTAGTGCCTTGATGTCTTGAATCTAAAATGAATTAGCTGACTAATTCCTCAGATCCAACCACGTTCAGACACTTGACTCAAAGATAAATTTTGAGGGTTTGAAACGTTGTATGTTCAGTCAAAGAATTCTGGACCGGAAATTTACAAGGTGATGGGGGAAGGTTGGACATGGATCTACTAGTCGCACGTCACGAAGTTGGTTAAAATAGACTTAGGCTTACCTCATCAGCTAGCAACGCCCAATGCAACGAAGAGACAAACTGCGACTGTCCATCCTCAAGTAGCAAGGTGCCGTCATGATTATCAGACGAAATTCCAGCGCCCTGAGAGCTCTGGCTGTTCGAAGATGGAGTTAATTGTGAGTCAGACTCGCGCCTCCCAGGATCATTCTTAGATTGGTCGGAGGAACGAGGTGGAGCCCCTTGGCCAGTAACTGCCTTCTCCAAGAGCAATTCGAGTCGATCTAATCGCGCTTGGACATCGGTATTCCTCGATCCTTTGACTCCGGATAGCATGGGTTTGGATATTCTACTGCCTGCTGATATCGAAGTTTGACTGAGGGTCTGATCCGTTGCATAGGTACAAACGTGGTTACCGCGCGTACATGCTCCGCAGACTGGATGGCCGTGATCACACCTCACTTTCCTACGTCGGCATGTGAGGCAGGAGGCTATTATGCGCTGCCGCCCGCCGGTTGATTGCGGTTTGGAAGAGGAGATCGAGGTCGGAGATGAGTTGGCCGGTTTTGCTATATCAACCATCGCGTACGGTGCCTTTGAAAGTTTGGTGTATTGATCATCCAGGAATGACGTTTTATAGATTGATGTTGGAAAGTGAGGAGGCTCGGCTTACTGAGGAAGATATGCGACGTCTTATCGTCACGTGCCTGATGAAGCGATACCCAGGTTACTCTAGCGGTCGAACACCTAAGTCCATTAGAACGACGAACCTTTCCCTCAACCTCAAATGAACAACTTGCGACTTCTTGTCATGTAGTTTTGAGGGCGAAGGTGGGCATGAATCATCATGAGGCTGATCATCCGGAGACTTACCCTCCCTCGCCAACTCCGGTGTAAAGTCTAAAACCCCTAGTCTCCTAAAACCTAAGCGATAAATTATCTCATGAGCCATACCCTCTGGAGGATCCACCGAGGCGTCGGCAATAGGTAATACCGGTTGCCGAGGAGGCTTTGCGCTGCTGCGCCACGCTGGACGAATCACCCCAGAGACAGACGGTTCTAAATGCGTGATCTCACTAGCCACAATCTTGTGGTTGGTCCGGTTAAACCTCGGAGGAGCGTCTGACTCGTGAGAGAAGTGATGACCAAGCAGAATGAAGTTAGCTAACTAACTAACATGTTTTACAAGTCATCCGCCAGCTAGCTCCAAAACTCACGAGAAATGGTAAAATTGCACTTAAATATCTCAACAACGCCTTAATTGTAAAGTCTAAAAATCTATCCCTAGTCTTAAATACCTCTTTTAAGATTCCTGTTAGAGGTTCTATAGTAATGAACCTAGCTGTTGTTAAGATATTAAGTTTCTAGCCACTAAACTTGGCTGAATTGCTATTTCTTAGGATTTAGTTAATAAATAGCTTTGAAAGTTCGACTAGAATCTTACAGAAGGTATAGAAGGCTAGTTATAAATTTTTAGTTGTTGTTGAGATATCAAGGTGTAGAAATTTCCTATTTTTAGTGAGTTTTAGGACTAGGGGATGACTGGTAAAATAAGTCAAGCTACGAAAACAGCCTTTGATTTTCTATAAGTCCATTTTCGTTTTCTAAACGGTACGTAAATTTCATATCCAACCCTAATGGTGCGGTTTTCATTATGCAGTCTTGAACAAAGGCCCTTTCCACGCCCCAGCAACCGCCTCTGCAACCAATTTATGAATAGCCTGCTACTTTCAGTCTCAAACCTGTTATTCTTCTCAAAAGGTACTGACCTGGCCTGGATGATAATCATTAAACCACAAGCAAGTCTTCCCATCCGAATTATAGCAAGTCGCATCCTTACTCCCATACTTGGTTGGAGCACTGATAGCAGTATTAAATGGAGCTTGAGTGTCAACAACCACAATCTTCGCCCCTCCATGAGAAGCCACGAACTCTGCCGACCTCTGCACAAGAAGCTTGTTGAACTGGTCGATGACACCGGCTTCTGTGTCTTGAGCTGCCTTCGATTGTCCCAGCATCATGGGGGACTTGTTAATCGGGGGCACGTTCAGTAATACAAAGTTTCTTGCTCCTGCACCAAAGACTGTTTCGATCTGCCCGAAATAGCTGTCCATAATCTGCCCTAGTAGCACCGTCTCGTTTGCCGAATAGTATGAATTTCCCACATCATTTACACCTAACCAGACTCCAAAAAGCGAGTTGTCCGCCGTCCACGCCGCATAGGACGGCTTGCTCGCGATGCTATCCCTAAATTGCTTCACCTGGTCGATGAAGCTCTTTACTGTGGTCTGGAAGGGCTTCACGAGCGATGCATTCACCGTTGCGCCACCATAGGCGAAGTTGAAAGAATAGGTGAGAGAGGCGTTGTAGTCGTGAACCAGGTCCCCAATCCAGTTTGCGCCTCCAGAGGTGGTCCAGCCGGGGAACGCTGGGTTTCCGAGGGGATTGGAGGCAGACGGCTTTGTCGATGAAACGTCGAAGCCTGTCTGGCTGTAGGAGTCTCCGCTGGAATACAAGTGTAAGTTATTTTCATTTGCCAATGGTAGTGCACTCACAAGGTGATAAAGTAGTTCACAGCTTGAGCAACATTTGCCCAGCTGAACACGGTTAGAGCCAGGGCGGCTTTGACACAGGTGCGATTGAAGCCCATTGTGAACGACAATTGTGAACGAAAATTAATGCTCCATACATCCAGGAAGTCTGTTAACTTAACTCTTCTCTCTCGGGCATTTTACGAATCTCCCAGATATGAACCCTTCTTCCACTCATTGCAGCACTCGAACCCACCAATCAGGTCTCGTTGAATCTCTCTTCCAAAGTCGGTATTCACGGGCAACCCTAGCTCTACGGAGGATCTCGCTCCTGATGAACTTCAGGAACGCCGCGCTTTAAGGTTGATCCATCCTGGCGCTCAACCCTGCCACTGGATTCGCTTAACGCTTTCCCTCTCGTTCGCTAAAGCCCGTTCATTTAATTTAACAGCTTTTTGACCCGGATTGACGCCTTCAATCCTCGAATCACGAGAGATGGTCGCTATGTTAGCTTATGCAAGGGTAAACTTTGCACAAATGCGAATATCAATGACAAGATTAAGATGGTAATAATTAGATAATTTCTCGATCTAGATCAGGGACTAGAAACCACGTGATTCAGCGGTGTGATAACTTGCTAAGCTACTTTCTAAGTCAAGAAGGAGAACTAGAGACAATGCGTTACCAACACCATTATACAGAATAGGTGTACTAATTCAATTCAGGAGGATGACTAGGGCAAGTTTGTATCTCGCCAAAGAACGCAGCCTGGACAGCTGAACTGGCCGGTCAATCCAGAGCTGAGAACTCTTTTTTTTCTTTACCATACAGTGAGAAACACTTGTGATGAACGCCTTTAGTACCCTTTGTTTCGCATACTAGAATTTCAGCCTTCACGTTTTGTTAAACCCCACTCGTAGATTCTCAGTCTCTCAAACGCCACTGGGTATTGACCGAGTACCCAATCATTCTGACCAGTACTGTTACTTACAAAGGTGTGGGCTTGGTGGAATAATCGAGAGCCACAACGCTGGCTGCAATATCTGCACAGTAATCTGGAGCCGATTTCAATTTCCCGAGAAACTAAACCCATTGTTTTTTTTGCTAGTGTCCAGAGCAATCCAGAAACGGAGGACTAGTTCTGGAGTATTTCAAATGCGGAGATAATGTGAATCTCTTGGAAGAGCTTTTTGGTAGGTGCAGAGATGAGGAACTGGATTGATTGCTAAAACAGTGTACCTAAGGGTCTATATATGGAAAGGAGCGGGCTAGGAAGCAAGTGACTAAGCAACAGGTAGAACAAGGACCGTAACAGGCAGTGTATCAGGGTGTGGAAGTACATCATCATGTGGCTCGAGCTCGGAGATCTCTGTAACTGCAAACAGATAATGGTGTGCTGCTAGTGATGAACTTGTATTATGAACTTAGCCAGTTTCGAACCCAAGTACAGCAAATTATCACATCACGTAAACCATAACCAAAGTAGTTAGAGAACTATCCGCTAAGCCTCTGGCTAGAACAAGGAGAGAGTTACTAGGATGCAAATTTCTACCCCAAAGTACCCTGTTATGTTCCACGTTAGGTGAGAAGATGTTGTAAATTTCTCTTACCGTGCACCCTCTTAAGTGGCTTTTAGCTGCATTTTCCTCACTAACTTAAGCTCTCTAATAGTCCATCCACTTTTCCAACCTCCTTGTAGGCGCTCTCTCAGTCGTCCGCAGGCTTCGTATATTCTTTTGTTGCCCGCATCTATATTCAACTTTGCAAAGCCCGATCCTTCGAAAGGCCGACAAGAGCTTGTCTACAGACTCTGGAACGAGAATGTAGATATCATAGTCTTGCGACTTGTGGATGTCGATTTTGTTCGCTGCTGTTGGCTTCTGTAGCTGTGAGCTCCACGGGTATTTCACCTCCCATCAAAGGAGCTAGAACAGACCAAAAACTTAGCCATATTGGGTTGATTGTCCGAACTCCTATTCAAGGGAATTTTCAAATTCCCCGTCAACTGTCGAAGGATAATGCTCAAATACGAGATATCCTCTGGGTATCTCACTTCACCCAGCACTTTCTGATCCTTTCGATACGGCAGGATTTTCAAACGCCTTCTCAAAATCCTGTGTCTACAATCTACACGGCCCTATTCTTCTTTCCTAGAGAGGGCTGTTTCAATTTCGAGAACCTCAATCTGGGATAGTTCGAAGCAAACGCCATTCCGGGATAAGGGGTGGACTGTTCTCCTATTCTTTGTTATCGTCGCGCTCTTGATTTTATGATCCATAATTGATAGACTCGCACTCCGCCAGTTCTTCATTGACAGCGACCCAGTTCCAACTTGGCGTACGGTATTCAGGGAATCGCCCGTGTTGAGTCACTTGGAGCCTGAGGTATTCTTTCGGATTTGGCCACTTTGACGACTTAACCTAGCATGAGGGAGGAGCTTCAACACAAAGCCGTGGTGTCTTTTCGGGAAACTACCTCTAGTGGTTCAAGATACTCATCTTCGCATTTAGCAATGGATACGAATTCCCAAAGGAGACCTTGATCTGTGAAAATATAAGGTCCGCCTTGACAAAAGGTTCCCTTGGAAACACTATCGTCGTTTTGTGACAGGACAGTGTGAGAGACAATCTGAAATAAATCTAGACAAAGAATCAAGCTCAACCAAAACGGCGCGGCCCTCGGACGGGCGAACACCCCAAACCTCAAACGGGAAAGGCGTTTCGACACCTTCCTGACTCATCCCAGCTGCAGCATCTGGTGCAGAAGCAGCGTAGAGCATCGGGAGAGAATTTTGGTACACAGGCTTTCTTCTCGCTGTTTCCTCATCCTAATCATCTAGGCAATTCTGAATGGAAGTATCCACCCAAAGATATTATGCTTCAATCTTCCTTTCAATGTGCATAGTGTCTTAAGCCAACCTCGGCATTTCCTTAACTGGAAGGCGTTGCTGAAACTGATCAATTTTTCAGGAGAGAGAAGAACTTGTTAGACTTTACCCAAGGAATAGCCCACAGCTACGCAACAAGCCTTTGCGCACTAGTTACCATGGTACGAGGCGAATCGCTTATAGAATCAATCAAGCATGTTGTAATTTAGGTTTGCTGGGGTATACCGTACGTCAGGCGCCCAACTTTGCACTGAGCGAGCTATCAAAGTGCTATTTCAAGAGAGAGGTTACTGTTTCTTGGTCTTCTGAACAACAAGGGGTCAAGTTCGGGTAGGGCGGCGCCTGTAAACTCATTAACGTGAGGAAAATAATGAGAGAAATACATATTTCAAGTTGACTTAACCGCGTACCTTTACCTGCAAGTAGTCTCAATTTAAAGTTTGGGTTACTCCATGTTTCTAGAGACTGCCTTCGACAGCGGTCAGCATAAGATATATGCCAACCAACAGTCCCATCAGCCATATTCATTACCCCATGACCTTCAGTAGTGACGTCCCTATGCAGTGTGTCGCGCAATGCTTTCCCATCGCCATAATGCACGTGTTGAGATTCAGCTCTGGGGGTCTGAATCAATTCAATTGGTATGCCACACCTCTCACCGCTAATCTGGCGAGAGTTACAGAGGCCTGCCGCATCAGCTAACCTTTCATGGCCGTCTTTGCGAATACTGCTGACTTTTTCCTGCACTTGAAGCAGCGCGACGTTCACGTAGGGTTCTCAGTCAGAGGCTGCAGATCAACACTATGCACAGAGTTACGGCTGAAGAAAAGCATACCTAATTGGTGTAGTCGAAGTAAAGTTAGGCCTTCGTCAGACTTTAGCCCAATTGTGCTAAATCGACCGCCTCAGTCGAGATTCAGCTACACCCCACAGATAATTCCAATTCTCTATTTCAGGAAAGTATCTGCAAGTAGAATGTATACACATTCCATGGAGCTATGGCGGACTTAATTGAGAAGAGTTTCGTCCGCATGTTTGGGGTAAAATTACTGATGACTGCAAAATGCAGGGGGCACGAGGCTTGGCATGGAGTTAAGACGGTCGACGAGAGCCATTTAGACATAGCGTACGAATTTGGTAGCTGAGGCCGGGAGAGACGAACTAACATGTCAGGATGGAATGACAAAGGTTCTCTAACATCACAGGGACTGGCTTAATTGAAGCTTCGCTTACGCCAGCGACGGACGGACCACTCACGCGACTTCACTCCTATTCGTTGGGTCTCCAACCAGCGCGGGGCTGTTGGCGATCGAAAGAGTTTTGGAATCGAACGTTCGCCGCTATGTGTTTTGCACTAGACCCAGAAACCTTGGCACGATGGGCCTAGCTGGGCGACATTGCCGGCCATACCTCAATGACCAAGGGATGCATCCTAGCGGCACAGGTATGTGGTATAAGAACGCTGGACCTCGCCTCAGCAGCTCATCCTTCTGTCCTCCTCGAGTATACAGCCTTTCCGGTTGATCGATAAACAGCACCAAGTCATGCATACCCAGCTTTTCATTAACAATGAGGTACCTTACAGTCCCCTGCCTAAAAAGGAGATTCTGACATTGAGCTAGTACGTCGATGCCAAATCAGGCGAGACCCTGAGCATCTACAGTCCCCATGATGAATCTCTGGTTGCCGATAAGGTTCAAGTTGCCGGCCAAGCTGATGTAGATGCTGCGGTAGCCGCTGCAAGGGCAGCATTCAAAGGCCCGTGGTCTAAGTTTACTGGGCCACAAAGGACAAAGGTCATGCTCAACTTTGCCGACCTTCTTGACAAGCATGCCGCTGAAATTGCGCCGTTGGAAGCGAACTCCATGGGAATGCCACTTCAGGTAGTGAATATGATCCTAGGCATGACTTCCTCTGTTTTCAGATGTAAGTTTACCCCCGACTTTGGTCCTTGAACTTGTATACCACTCGTGGAGTCGGCCGATTCTGATGGTGATCTAGACTACGCAGGCTGGACCGACAAGGTCACCGGAGAGCAATACCCTGAGGTGGACGGAGTCTACAAGGCAAGCGTCCTAGAAAGCATCGATATGTCTAGAATCATGATACTGACCCGCTGTCCTTGAAGATCGTTCAATACGAGCCCGTTGGTGTCTGCGCAGGTATTGGAGCATGGAACGCGAGCCCGATGTTCTTCGGAGCCAAGGTTGCTGCTGCTATGGCAGTCGGATGCACTTTCATCTATAAGGGTTCTGAGAAGAGCCCCTTGGGAGTACTAGCCCTTGGTGACTTAGTGAAAGAAGCGGGATTCCCCCCAGGTGTCATCAATATCATTTCCGGAGATGGACGGGCTGGGTCCATGCTGGCTTCTCACATGGATATCAACAAAATCTCCTTCACCGGCTCCGTGTTCGCTGGAAAGAAGGTCCAAGAACTAGCTGCCAAGAGGTAAGATCTGAGAAGGAGACGTGTCACCGTCGATGACTGACGTCTAAAAAGCAACCTCAAGCGTGTGGTTTTGGAGCTTGGTGGAAAATCTCCCTCAATCATTTTCGACGACGCCGATATTGAAAATGCGCTGGTCCACCACTCTCAGAACTTCCTTTTCAACACTGGTCAAGCCTGCATTGCGGCTTCGAGAACGTTTGTCCACGAAGACATTGCACCCAAGTTTATTGAGCAGCTGAAGGCACGGTACGAGCAGTTTGCCCACACAATCGGTGCGCCACTGGATCCAAAGACATTCCTTGGTCCGTTGGTTGACGGAAAGCAGTAAGTCTTGCAGTGGTATTTCGTTTATTGGTGAGAATGCTCATGCGTCGACAGATTTGAGAGAGTAATGAGTTTCCTTGAGATTGGTAAGACTGAGGCCGAGCTCATCACTGGAGGAAAGCGCCATGGAACTTCTGGATTCTACGTTGAACCCACCATCTTCCTCAATCCCAAGGATGATGCCCGGATATACCGCGAAGAAATTTTCGGCCCAGTAATAACAATCAGGACGTTCAAGACGGAGGAAGAGGCCATTAGTATGGCGAACGATACTAGCTATGGTTTATCATGTAAGTTTCATCCTCGACTGAACGCTTGAAGAAGACGCGCTGAATTGACAAACATGAAAGCTTGCATCTTCACCGCATCTACCAGTCGTGCCTTGCGCGTTGCGAAGCAACTCGAGGCTGGCATGGTAAACATCAACAGCTCGCAGACCTTTGGAATGGAGGCACCATTCGGAGGATTTAAGCAGAGTGGCCTTGGCAGAGAGGGTGGTAGGCAGGGACTAATGCATTATGTTGAAGCTAAGACGATCTCAATCAAGTAAGTCGGCAGCTGAAAGCCGCAGGCTAAATTTTAGCACCGCTAACGAGAAGCAGCATGGCAGTTTAAAGATGGCTGAGAGTCTGAGGAGGTATATGACCAACGACAACGGAGAGTTTACAAACAAGGAGAGAAGGATACAAAGATGATTCCTCAGGTTTGTTTGTTGCCATAATTTCAGAAGTGAAGATAAGAAATGAATTTGAATCCTTTGCAACACGTCCACGTGCAATGCATGTTGCAGGCATGGACCTTGAGTGAATGCCCTGGGCTAGCTTAATTCCAAGGCCGAAAGGTAGCAATGAGGGAACGGGTGGAGATGGCTTCGGAGCCATCTCGGTCGTCATTTGTCGCGTCAACTGATCGTAGCTTTCCTTCTTAAAACATAGGATAAGCAGGATGGCCTAGATGGTAAAGTTGAGGCTGGGATAAAAACGGGCGGGAGGCATGGCTTTGTCGAGGATTGATGAACGACCCGTGGAAGGTTCTACGGTGCATTGGGCAGGCCGGATAAACTCAGGCACCGATGGCTGCAGCCACCCAATGAGGAGTCACATGTCACTTGTGCCTTAACAGGCATCCTGCTGCCCTGAGTGGCCGTCGAACCGCCAGGTCGCTACGGCTAGCCATGAGATTCCACGAAAGCCTGATGAGGCTGGCGCTCTCTCGGCCAGAGGAATTTGGCTTTCCACCATGCCACTCTGCGCATGATAAGGAGGGGCTTTGCCTCTCGATATTCCCAGCCTTCCGGCACACCACCAAGGGTCTCAGCCGCCCGGACTATTGAGCATTGCGGCGCAGAGTCCAACACTTGAACTAAGATCTGATCTCACAGCTTCAGGGCGCCCGCGCAGTACACCGCTTTGCTTTTTGAGTATATATATCGGCCTGCAGCATGATCTCCGGCTAGACATGACGGATCAAGGCCTTGGTACGTCCGATTCGTGGTCGTCTGTAGAATATCCACAGCCGGGCGTCGCGGCGTACTGACGGAGAACAAAAGACGTGCGAAACTCGACCCTGTCTGCCCTCAAAATCTCCTGTCCTTCTGCCGAAGTCCTCGATTCTCCCTTCCATTCCGACCGAATGGGGCCTAATCCTTTCCTCGATGCCGACACAGAATGGTCTGATGAAGAGGAATTGATACCCAAGAGTCGCCGGAAGACCCAGTACGTCCCTCCCAATGGCAGCGCACCCAGTAGGGCTGCTGCTGTAGCTGCGGCAGAACACTGGCCGCAATCCTCATCATCAGAAAATTCCCCCAGCCCCAATCGGAATTCGGGACGTCCCCTCAATGGCTCCCCGCTCATCCCACCAAAGTCTCCATCGCGGCCGGACATCAGACCGGGTAGCAGCCAGGACGATCTTGTGGAACGATTCTACCAGGTCACAAGAGAGCGTGATGCTCTCCGGAAACAGCTCCAGAGAAAATCAATGGGTGCGCATGGAATACCGCGGGAGCAGTCAGTGATATACAAATCGGATGAGAAGAGCCTCATTGAGGAGCTACAGGCTCTCCGTTATGAGATTCGTAGTTGGAGCGAGCAGTACTTCAGTGGCCCACCTTCCTCTCGAAGCCGAAGACCGCACGTCCACTCGTCCAAGGAGCTGTTTGGTACGCTCACCGACAACTACCAGACATATCTCAAACACTCCCAGGATCGGCCGCTCCTCATTCAGGCCTTCGTGTGGAGTAGGCTCCAGCATCGCATATTCAGCAATTTGTTTAAAGGTTGTGGATATGTTTGGGCTGGAAAGCTAGGCGAAAGGAAGCTCCGCCCAATTAACGATACACTGCGCAAAGGTAAGTAAAAGTTTCAAAATTTGGCGTTCGATCTCAAGAATGCTGATTCTTCTCAGCTGTAAAAAATGAAGAAGATGCCGAAGAATACCATCGGTGGAGGGCTATGACTGTCAACCTCCTTGTTCCACAAGTAGACGGCAAATGGAGGCCCACGTTCGACGCCGCGCCTGTGCTCAAGCGAATATCCCGGTTCTGCAGTAGACTGCGGAGGAAGCTGCGACCATTTGCCACTCAGAGCTTAAGGCACGGGAAAGATCAACTTCGCACAATAGTCTCTGCAGCGGTCGCTCTGGACCTAAAGATGAAACGGCAAAGGGCAGATTACCGCTTCGTCACTTTTACAGGTGGCAAGTCGGGTGAGCTCTTCGGCTATGGCTTCTACGACTCCGAGATGGAGGACATTGAAGAGGACAATGATAAGCCTAGGAGAGTCGAGCTCTCGCTGGCGCCGGCCCTAGAAAGATGTGGGAATGCCAACGGTTACGTGTTCGACCAAAATTTCATACTCGTCAAAGCGGACGTGAGCTGTAAGCGGCTCGAGAAAAAGCGGCCTCCTAGGAAACCTCGAGAAAATGGGTATAGAGCGGGAATGCGGACTCTTTCGAACTTATGGAACTATTAGGGCACGAATTTATATTGCATAATGCATATCATTGTACCGAATATGACCCAAGCCTATTCGCTCTCCTACTTTGATTATTGTTCCGGGTACCATGCCTAAAGGGATTCTGTTCGAGAATACGTCCCTGCACCACCGATAGGGTGCTAGGTCGCGGTGGATACCTCAGTCGCCAGCTATAGAGTGTACCGTCAAACAAAGTGTAATGCTCTCTGGGGCTCCAACATTCCCAGCTCAGGTACCTCCTTTCGTTCCAACGACTCCGGCTTTCGACTCCCTCTGCAACTTGTAACGGAGTGACCACCGCTTTCGCCAGGATTCTTTTTGTTCAGAATATCGGATAGGCTGAGGGTCAGGCTCCTTTGGACCCAGCAGTGTTGCCAGCGCATCTCGAGTCTCGGAATCTCGGATAGGCAGGGAACCAGGCCGTTCTGAACCCAGCTATTTTAACGGCGTATCTAAAGTCTCCGGATTCCTGATGAGCAGAGAATCAAGCTTATCTGAGCCCACTTGCCTTTCTGGCGTGGAAGTAATCTCAGGGAACGGTATTGAGGTGCCACCCTGGAAGATTATCCCTGGGGTTTCAGGTGGGCCTTCGTTTTGACCTTCGTCTTGACCTTCGTCCACGAAGTAGAAAGGGGTTGTGCGCTATCCTATGACAAACGGCCAGTTTGATAGCAGTTCAGCTATATAGGCATGCTTGTCAATACGACTGACAGCAGCGGCACACTGAGATACGAAGATGATCGAATCTGATATTTCCGAAGACAGACTGGATGATTGTTCTCATGGCAGTTATTCTTCTTTAAATTGCTCCACTGTCACTTACTCCTGACTTATGCAAGTATGCTTGGTCGAGTTTCCAGTGACTTCGGTGGCTTTTCTCTTTGGTCCCCATTGTTAGAGATCTTTGGGGAACAGCTGATAATGCACGAGACAAAAATTTAAGAATGGACACACCAGTCATAGTAGAGGACGTATCGCGGAATTTTGTTCCTGACTTGGGGAGCGGGCCAAGCAGTTAATATGCCTTTCTCATGGACAAGAGTGGCGTCTATTGTGGTGCACTTTTCCGGTGACGCACTTTTCGCGTGACGCCCCTCAGATGAAGGGATATTTTAAGTGATCTCATATCCTCGTTGAATTCTAACGGGACTTCCTCAGACGGAGCCGGTAAGCTGAAGCTTGAAGAAGTAGGTAGGTTAAAAAGCCTTGGAAGTATCTCGGTTATCTCACGTACTCAACCTTCTTCGACTCTGACAATGATTTCTTGGTGTTTAGGTGATTCGGTAGGTCTGCTGAATACGCGGGTGTTGCTTTTTCTACAAGACTAAATCTTTTTGCCAGAGCAACAGTTGAAAGAATTGGACAATTATTATTCAAGGAAGCAGGCACGTGATATTCATAATGGCTCGTTTCATTAAGAAGCAGTATCAGAGAGAAAGAAGCTTTTAAAGGACCCTCATATAAAGCTTAAAGAATACAGCAAGTACACGCTAATTGGTTCACATATTCCAAGATCTAAGCGCCCGGATCCTCTGGACGCGCTCCACATTCAACAATCCGCCATTCGTTCACAACGGAGAGCGGCAAAGAAAGACATCGAAAGCCCCAGCAACTGGTTTCATAATGCCTAGAATGCCATTCTGGATGAAGAAGCCGTTTATATATAACATCCTTACGATCTCTTCTCCCTAGCCTCCAAACCAACCACACCCCTTCGGCAGTTCCTCGAGCGCTCACGCCGTTTCCGGCTTCTCCATATTTGGAAAAAGAAACCTCTAGATTATGTCACTGCCTACTACACATACACCAAGACTTTGTACTACGGGTCTGATGCACGAACTGACCGTTTCGTCGTCGTCACCATTACTTTCGTCTGGTTGATCATGCTCATTGCACCTCTTTGGATTTTAGCAAAGACCAGCGGGATAATGAAGAGACTGGGAGTAGTCACGGGGTTCGTTGTATTCTTTGTGGCACTCATTGCCTTTACAACGGTTGCGAGGCGCGTTTGAGAGTTTGGCTGCTGCTGCTGCTGCTGCTGCTGCGTACGTGTTGTGTTTCGTTCCTCTCTTTGGAATTTCGAGAAAATTGTGACACCCTTGTCGAGGCCTGGCTGACCTTGGAATCGATCTTTAGATATTCTACCGTCTTGGTCGTGTTTTTGCAGATTGCTAACTAGAGATAGCATGGTCTTAATGGGATCCGCAATGGAAACGGACAGACAAACCCTTTTGCATACTGGATACTATGAATAAGTGATAACTTGATACAAAATGAGTATAGAATCTGAAGAATTATCTCAGTGTTAAGGCCCATGTGAACCCAGGACTCTTATTATCGCACATTCTTCCTGAGCTGAAGATTCCGTCTACCAGCAATTGCACTGTAGAAGCCACTAAAATAAACTGAACAGTAAATTCGCCGTGGATCAAGAAAATGGAGGAAGGATTAAAAGATACAGAGCTAACTGCAGCTCTGTTACTGCCTGTAAGATTCACCTAGTAGCGTGGTGGGGTGTGAATTTAGGTGTCGTTCCGAATCAGGAAATTCGCCAAGACGTATTCGGCGACCCTTGCAAATGATCGCCGCTAACAATTCACTTTACATCCACGACAGACACGAAGCTTCCACACTTGAATATTTTTCCCCCGCTACCTCGTCTCACGCCTCTCCAAAACCTCCAGGAATACTAGTGCACATCAAGCTCGGCCTCGTCCCTGCCTGACGTCGCAAAACCCAAGTCTTCCCACGCCTCTTCTGCTCCGAATAATTCCCAGTCCTCCGCGGAAAACTCTCCACCTCCAAGCTCCCGCTGCAGGCCTCCACTCTTCACTACCACCCATACGTTCTCCCACCGCGACCAATATACTCTCCGATAATCAGATCCCAACAACTCCACTCCGCCGCAACTATGGCTAACCCCTCCACCCCCACGGACCCCTCCTTAAACACACCCTACAATGACCCCACTGCGACCCTCCTAAGCACATCCTGTCTCGACTTCCTCCTCATAGAACTAGTGCCAATGGCATACCGTATAACCTCCGATCTGGCGGCACGGGAAGAAGAATGGATGCGCGGATCTAGTTCCCTTAACCCACGGAGCGACGATTCGGGGAGCACAGCTGGGAATGTAGGGCGGATAGGAGATGTTGGAGGTGTTGGAGGGGCAGTGGGAGGTACGGTGGACGAGGAAGAGGCGAGAGAAGCTGTATTCCATAGGTTAGAGACTTTGGGGTATAGGGTTGGACTGGGTGTTGTAGAACGGTAAGCCGTCCCCTTCCCCTCGCCTTCGCCTCTCTTCTCCTAACCCCCAAATTTTTTTTAAGGAAGTTTTGCTAATTGCTCTCAGTTTCTCCCGCGACAAACCGCGTCCAACAACCCCCCTCGACATAATAAAATTCCTCTGCAAAGATCTCTGGACCCTCCTGTTCCGCAAGCAAATCGATAACCTCAAAACTAACCATCGCGGCATCTACGTACTAACCGACAACTCCTTCAAACCCCTTTCTCGCATGTCCTTTGACACCAAAAAATTCGACCAATTACCTGCACAGGCGGCGGCCGCTATGGGGGACACCGTTGCGGGCTTGGGAAAAGATGCGAATTACATAGCCAGGGTGCAGCCTTTTTTGTATTTTCCGGCGGGAGTGATAAGAGGAAGCCTTGCTGCGCTGGGGATACAGGCGACTGTGCAGGCGGAGTCGAGTGGGCCGCCGAATGCTACATTTCAGATACGGACAGTGGGTGCGAAGCCTTGATATAAAGAGCAAGGGCATGCATGTCAGATACAGTGCAGTCCGTGTGGCGTTTAACATTATTTCAAGCGGCATTGGGTGGCGTATGGAGTTAGGAGATTGGGTATCACTTTTTTTTGGGGGGGGGGGATGGCGGTTGAGTATCATCACCTCTAAATGCATACAACTTGCATGTCTGAAAACCTTTGCGCACAAGGAGCTTTCATTCATGGACATCTAACCGTATAGGCCCGAGTCAATCCGCTCAGTCACGCTTGCCCAGATACCCATACAAACACGAATCAAAATCTATACCCGCCTAAATTTATTCCTCTCATGGAAGTAGGTGGGGTTCGTTATCATGCTGGCCTATAACCTATCTGCCATGCTTATATGAGTATTCTCTCGCGGACGAAGGGTGGGTAGGATTGGAGAAGGCTCACTTTGGTGGTGGGTTCTGGATGAATTCAACGCCCTTGGCGATGTTTCCCTTCAGGCCAGTGTAACAAGCCTCGAGTAGTTTCTTCTCGGCGTCGTTGGCGGTGCTGACGACATCGATAGCCTTCTCGGCGCCGGAGGGCTGTGGACTGTTAGGAAGAGTGGGAAAGGGGATGCATTGTTCAACTTACTCCAAGCTCAATTGGGACAGAGAAGAATTCACAGCCGGTAGTCTTTACAATAGCCTCGCCGCCTGGGACACCTGGGAGGTAGACGAAGCTAGGCTCGACAATGCCCTTCTCGCCCTTAACAGCCTTGATCACCTTCTCGGCAAATCTACTTTTATCAGCAAATGCCTTTATGAGCGAGCTTCGATACCCACCGGAAGCCGGCGTAGGCCATGGAAAGAGTAGCAGAGCCAAGGCCATCTTTAGCTTTAACGACCTCGTCACCACCAAACTGGACGCCTATGGACGCATTAGGATTGACCTACGACCCGATCGCTCGTAGTTACTCACGGTTGATGAGAGCATCGTAGTCCTTGGCTGGGATGTCAACCGCGGGCTTGGCCTGGCTGAAGAGGGGAACAATGGTCTCTCCAGAGTGACCACCAATGACTGGGATAACCGTCTTGGATGGGTTCTTCTCGCCAGAGATGCCAGCAACGAATGTCTCGGCACGGACGACGTCAAGAGTGGTGACACCGAATAGCTTCTTCGGGTCAAAGACGCCAGCGGCCTTTAGCACCTCAGCAGCAATCGGGACAGTCGAGTTCACGGGATTGGAGATGACCAGGACGAAGGCCTTTGGGCAGGCCTCTGCGACACCCTTGACAAGATCTCGTACAATGCCAGCGTTAATCTTAAAGAGGTCGTCGCGAGTCATTCCAGGCTTGCCTACAGCGGGTCAGCACCCGCCTCACCGACAGCTGATAGGTGCGGACATACGGGGAATGCCAGCAGGAATGACGACGATGTCGCAGCCAGTGAAGGCCTGCTTCATGCCCTCATTCGGAGGCAGGAAACCAGTGACGGTCTGCTCGCTGCATCAGTATAACCCTCAATTGAAAAGGCCCGGACGTGTGCGTACTGCTGGCGTCGAGATGTGAGAAAGGTCGGCGGCAACGCCGGGCGTGTTGACAACATCATAGAGAGAAAGCTCGTCAACGAGGGGGCAAGCCTTGAGGAGGAGGGACAACGGCTAGCATTCTATCAGCAGCGGTACTTTACGCAGTTCCTCAGGAGTGCACACCTGTCCAATGCCCCCAGACGCTCCAGCAACGCAGGCCTTGACCATTTTGTTAGCTTGTGATTAGTGGATCGGACGATGAGGGGAAGTGCGGGCGAGGGAAGGTGAGATGGCGAGCAAAGGAGTAGGGACGAGCGGAGCAGCAATTGAGCGGACGAGGGGTGCTCAAATAGCTGTCGATGGAGGAATGGAAATTTGGCGGTGAGTTGTGCGTGGGATACAGCAGAACAGGAGCTTTGCAGGCCACGAGACTCAACGGCTGGTGGGGGAAAGGGCGAGAGGCACGGACCAATGGCGGGGTCTTCGTTTGGCAGGTGTGACGGAGTGTAGGAGTGAATAATGGGTGGGGTGACGACAGCAACTTTGTCGCGCGTTTTGGGTTCCTGAGCCTCATATATAAATGTTCGTAAATCTTGCGCAAGGCTGCACGTTTGATTCGCGTCCCGAATGAGCCTCGGGCTCACATGGCGTCCACATCACTTCCGAACTCCTCGGGCGGGATCGGACTACTCGTTGCCATCAGATGCAGGAACGCCCAAAAGCACGCATGCACATGATGTCGCAGGATGCCACTCTTCAATCGAAATTCATTTTGCTGTCTTTATGTACGCCATCCCATCCGTACCCCATCCGCGGCCGAAGGCCTAAACCGCCAGGACAGCTCCAAAACACCCCGACCTTTCCCCTGACCTCGACTCGCAGAGTATTCCCACCCAATCCCACCGAGCCCCAAGTGTCAGAGAAGAGATCTGCCCATTTTAAAGCACCTTCGCCATGTCGTCCCCCGCTATCCGGTTTTCGGGGTCAGGCTGACAAGAATTGAAAGTCTTCCACCCTCTACTCCAATATCAAGTCCTAAAAGGCCCCCATCTCCCCCTGTCACGGCCTCTCTCTTCACTAGTCAGATGGTCAGCTGCTGTTAAGGGCCAAAATCTTCCCTCTCTCCTTCTGCATCTGCATCCCCCTCTGGATCATGAGGTCGATAGCCCTGGCTAGGATCCCCAGCTCCAGTTGGGTCAGGCCCACGCTGACCCACGGGATACATCTGCTATCCGAAATCAGAGAAGAACAGAACGAGGTAGTGAATCTTGAGCTTACTTGCTGGCCTGCCATTGGATATGCTCCATAAACAGCTGGGTCAAATTGGGGTGGCAGCTGGCCATAGGCATTGGGGTCGCCTTGCACTTGCGGAGCATACATGCCTGACGGGCGGAAATCTTCTTGTGGAGCCATATGCTGCCCCATTCCGTAGTCCTGTGGAGGAGGCATCTGATGTGGCGCGTGCACCCCGCCTTGTTGAGGCATCGCACCTGGGGGGATTGCGGCATTTGATTGAACAGCGGCGCTACTCTGCCCACCACTCCGCTTGTGGGGGTGAGCCTCCTCACGAGGGACAATATCAATCAAGAAGTCGAACATGTCTGATTTCGACAAGGCCGACGCAATATCCGAGCGCTGAAGAGTGCGGCGCTTGTTCTCCTCTGCATGAATCCATGCGCGCATCGTGAGCTCCGTGATGAATATGTCGCATCCCTTCGCGAAGAGAATTGGGGCTTCGGCAGATATCATCTTGACTTCGGGATCCGCTTTCATGACCTTCTTGATCCGTGCCAGCGGGAGCTGATGGAGCTTGTAGTCGTGTTCATCAGTCTCCAGCTTCATCACCTGTTGTTGCCAATAGGTATTGAGAATGTCGCGGTAAGTCCCGTTTAGGCCTTGATTCACCTGTTATCAAATCAGCCTGTGAGTCGTGCGCACGTCTGCCATACCTCGTACGTTCTGCCATGACCCGGTGAAGAGCTGCGCGTCGGGCGCATGGCCCTGGGCAGCAATCTGGACCAAAAATCAGTTTCTGCGAGGTGGAGAGGAGCTCCAAGCGAGCATTCAGCGAAGGTACGTACTGAGGCGGAGGCTCCTGATGGCGAAGCAGTCAGCTCAGAGGTCTCATAAAGTCGGTCAAGGCGAGAGAGGTCGCGCATGCAAAAACGTACCGTAGTGCCCGCCATTGTTCGAGTCGTACAGAGGGTTCCCGTTTAAACCGTCATATCGTTTCGGGGCGGCGGGCGCCTGGCGCATCTTCTGCTGGCCGTGAGCTTGGAGATGTGTCGGGTCCATGACGATCTCGTCACTCTAGGGTTACACAGGGAGCAGGGGTTTGATTCGTGGGCAAATGCCCAGTCGCCAGATGTCGGTCGCTGTCAGCGGATCGATGCAGGAGGGAGCTGCGAAGGCCCAATGGATGGTGGTGACGGTAGTCGGGGTGGGTGTTTGTGTGAATGTAGCTTGGATGCTGTGGTTGCGTCAAATATGCGGTCTGAGTGGACGACGTTGCAGGCAAAAGGATAAGCGGGGAAGGCCAGGCGCACGCGGGAGGTACCTGCGCCCAAATTGATGCTGCGAGCTGCGATCAGTAGGCCACGGTGCAACACCCGCCATCTTTCTGGCCTTCACGCTGGGATGGTTGTTTACCTGGTGACCAAGACGCGATACGGAACACGCCGCGACGTGCGGCGCAAATTGCTGTCGTGGGTTTTGCCAATCGGATGGGAGGAAGCGCAGGCAAGGCCGACGAACCACACGCAAGAAGCCGCCCTCCGAGACAGGGACTGCGGCCAACGCTGTGGAGTCAGCGGGCAGGCAATGAGCAAGATCTCCTGGAGACGAGTGTTGGTGCCCGCAGCGAGGGGCGGGGAAGAAATGGGCAGGAGGAAGCTTCGAATCTGCAGCGCGGCGGGCGGATCTGGACATGCACTTCCCCAGCGATCACTCCTCCCCCACCCCCAGGACTCCGCTGAGTTTATATCTATCTGAAGCCGCCTGTCACACCGGACTCTCGCAGAATTGAGGGGTGACAGCGCGCAGTGTCTAATGCCGGGCTCGTCACATCGCTCTTCGCATGTGCCGGCAGGCTCGATCTCATCGTGATCGAGCAGTGCCAGAACAGCGATGCAGCAGCTGAACCGCCAGGGCAACACAATTAACATTATCGAGAGAACAGCAAGAGCAGCACTAGCGAGAGGGCCGCCAGGACGACATGCAACGCGCAACATGGACGCACGCATTCGTTGGAACACTCCGCTCGATGGAGTGATGATTGGGCGAGTGTGTGTGCTGGCGGGGCGCTGATTGGCTAGGGGCGGCCAATTCACAGCTGCCGGTCAAGGGCAGCGTGATGAGTTGGCCATGTTCGGGGTTGAAAAGACACGGCTTGAACCACGCCATCTGCACCTGGTCATCATCAGCGTGAGATGAGGTGAAGACAAGAGTGAAGCTGCGATGGTTGCGCTGCAGCGAGCATGCATTGGTTGGCCGACACTCCTCACGTGGGAGATTGAATGCGGTTTAGCTGCGGATGGGCCGAGGCGGGCCGTGCAACGCCAAAATTTCTCCAACACTTTTTCTCCCCCAGTGCAGCCTCTCCAAGCCAACTTCGACATGGCCGCGCCAGCGCATCAACCCTCTGTCGACAAGGGCGCTGCCCTAGATGACTTCGACATGGGCGAAGAACTGTCAGATGAACAGATACGGGAGTTACTGAATGGAGCTGAGCGCCGCATGCGCGCAAAACAGGCCTCTTCCCAGACCAGCACATCCAACGCCCCGTTCAAGCTCCCCAGATTGAAGCCGGGACACATTGCAGACACTTACTTGAAGACTGAGGGCTCTGTGACGCGGTTAGACCTGTCTCAACTCATTAGTGCGAAGGACAGGGCCCTCGCTGATGGGGTGAAGAAGATCGAGGATCCAGTCCAGGTGAAGAAATTGAAAGAAGCGGTAAGTACGGTACATTTCATCTTCTCCCAGCCAATGATTATAATTTTTTCCCAATTTCCTCCTGAAGCAGATCCGGACCTCGTTTTGGGTGTCTTCCTGCACCACTGAGGGTCATCTATGTTCATAGTTACAATGAGGCACCATACACACAATGTACTCTGCGAAACATGTTGTTGCATGGAACTAACGGATCGTAGGAGAAGAAGGCAACAGCAGGACCCAACTGGTTCAATCTTCCTCGGACGGAGCTTACCCCTGAGCTTCGTCGGGACATCCAATTGCTAAAGATGAGAGGCGTCCTCGATCCAAAACGGCATTATAAGAAAACAAATTCAAAGGCCGATGTACCGGCTTACTCCCAAGTTGGCACCGTCATTGAAGGCCCGACCGAGTTCTACAACGGGCGACTTAACAATAAAGACCGCAAGAAGACTTTCGTGGAAGAGGTCCTCGCGCAAGAGCAAGAAACAGGGCGCTTCAAGAGAAAGTACAACGAGATCCAGAAGACTAAAACGAGCGGGAAGAAGGCATTCTACAAAGCACTCAAAGCGAAGCGGCAAGGCCGGGTGGGGAAGCGATGAGTGGCCAGACTCGACACACGTTGCACCTCTCATGGCACGATCAAGGCGTCCACATACCTTGCACCCATGTGATGGAACAGTAGCTTCTTCTTTGCTATCTGTACATGGCCTTCGTTGGCACCATCACGTCCTTTCGCTGGCCATCTCGAAGGCTTGCTTACCCAGGTTTATAGCTCATGGAGATCAGAGACTATCAACTTTACAAGCGCCTGCATATCTTTTGCGGCCTCCCTCCCAGCCTCAAGGACCTCTTCGTGGTTTGCTTTTCCTCTTCCCAAGTGTGCGTCAAGCTCGGCTTTCGTCATGCTTTGTAACGCTTCATCAGACCCTAGGGGACCCGCTTCGAGGACTGCGCTATTGGTCACCAAGCTGAGGGCCAACACCCGAATTCCTGAGTGCCTAGCGACAACAATTTCTGGAACTGTGGACATTCCCACAACATCCGCTCCAAAGCCGCGCAGCATGCGGCATTCAGCCCGAGTCTCATAACTACCATGAATTAGCAACCAGAGACAGGCGCCAAGCAATATACAATGAAGACATAAGAGTCCAATGACTTACGTTGGTCCCGCAACAAACGCATAAATGCCCTCATGTAGCCGTCTCTTTTGCTTGTCTAGGCCTAACGTCTTCCATGCTCTATGGACACGCACCCTCAGGTCCAGATCATACGCATCTGACAGCGGTGGAAAGCGAACACCGAAGTCGTCGAGGTTCGGCCCTCGCAGTGGGTGAATGCCGACAAGACCAGCCATATTTAAGTGCTTTATCTCGTCAGTTCATCCAGGTTATAAAACTCCACGGCTGTGCGGACAACCATACATCATTCAAGCACACGATATCCCCAACAGCATAATTTTGGTTGAGTCCACCGGCTGCATTTGTAACTGATATACACAAAGTCAGAGTCCACTGTCTCTGATATTTGGGTTTCCTGAGCGCACCAATTATTACTTCTACACCCATGAGTTTGCAAACTCGGGTTGCAAAAGTGACCATGTCCATTGTGTGGCCTTCGTAGAAGCTGAATATCAATTATCAATACCTAGGAGAACTTTCTTATCTTATCGAGGCATGCGTGACTGACTGTGCTCGTCCTACTAGAAGTGCAACGGGAGTCTGATGAGGGCCTAAGCGCCCGAAGACGAATTTCCCTTCATGGCCTTGAACTGTATTGCATATGAATCATTATCCCGAGCCACTAGCTCTTTTTGTCTTTCAAAGAAGATATTTCAATATGCCTTAGCTTTTAGATGAGACCACGTACAACTCACCAGTGCTCTTGGGGAAATTCGGTATGTTTTCGTACGCCAGCTCAACTTTTGGGGTTGGGTCAATCGTCTGTGCTAGACCACCTAGCCCAGAGCCACACACGATAGCTACTTTAGGATTTTGCAAGACATCTGGCAAGGCGGAGCGAATGTGGCTCGCGGTTTCGGTTGCCCGTTGGTAGGTAGAAGGGGAGGTTGTGATCTCCATTTTTGGCTAAAGCAATAACGAAACTAGGTGTTACTAAGGTAGATACTCTTTACATGTGTTTCCACATATCTGCGAAGGGCAAAAGGGCAGTTTGTGTTTTCCAAGGTTGTGATCTAGTGTGCAGAAAGAAGGTCAGTGGGCTTGGCACGGTGACCGGTATGTTCTGCCGGGCGGTGACGAATTAGGCTAGTTCAAATCCATTTCATCTTCAACTTAGTGCTCTATCCACAAATATGCAGGATGACAAGCAATGGCGGCTCCTAGGTGTACAAGATTTGTTTTTGGCTCTGTGAGGGGGATACATGTATGTATAGCTTGGGTGCGTCTCCGATGCACAATTATTGACGTTGAGCAGATTACAACCCCGAGAACCTTCCCCCAGACATTTTCACGAAGCAAATCCTCGAGAGCGAGGAACGACGATGACGAACTCCGTGAGCCAAAAGGGGCGGTGGATAAAGCTCCGAAGGAGAATATGACATTAGAGGAGCAATTGGAGGATATGGGAGTTAACGAGGAAGAATACAAGCAGTATGGCTTATGGTGACCCAGAATACAGGAAATCTGCAAGATGCTAATTGAACACTATAGGTTATGGAGAAGCATGCAAGAAGTTACCAAAAAGCAGAAAGAATGGGAACCCTTGACACAGGAGGATGCGAAGAGGAAGTGGAAGAAGATGAGGAACTCTCCAGATCACCTCACGTTATTGCACATGTACAAGCATCAAGGCATTGAGGCAATCAAGCTGGCGAAGTGTGTTCGCTGCCTTCATCCGTCTAAAATTTCTAATAATGAGCAGGGAACGAGGCATCGAGCTCCCCGGAGGCGAAAAACCACCCGCAGACCCCAAAATCCAGAAAGAACTTGACGCGCTCCGCAAACCCCTCAACATCCGGGCTGTCAACCTTCGACCCCTCCGCCGCTCGCCGCAACATGGCATTCCAGTCTGTGATCTCCAGCTCCGCACATACTCGATCCGAAACATGGAGTTCTTCGCCGATTTCGCCATGCGCGCAGCATACTACATGGGTCTACCCGCCCGCGGTCCCATTCCTCTTCCCCGAATCACCGAACGCTGGACAGTCCCCCGCGCAAACTTTATCTTCAAGAAATCGCAAGAGAATTTCGAGCGTATCACCATGCGCCGCCTCATCCAAATCCAAGACGGCCATCCGGATGTCGTGAAAGCGTGGCTAGCATTTCTGTCGAAATACCAGTACCACGGGATTGGTATGAAGGCGAATATCTGGGAGTTTGAGAGTCTGGAGGATGCGACGCAGGTTGGGAAGCCGGTTAAGGAGGGCGATTATGAGGGCAGGAGGGAGGGACCGATGCTGGAGAAGGTTAATGAGATTTTAGGAGGGCAGGGGTTTAAGGAAGCGATGAAGGATTTTAAGAGTCCGGTTGAGTTGAGAGCGTAGGAGAAAACGCGTGTACGATATGTACTGAGTGGTTGAACAGTGCTAAATAATTCATGGTTAGTATCTGGTTGGCTGTTCCTGTCGTGTATACGGGGTGTATCATATTAGTAGGGAATGCATCTAAGCATTTGGGTATTGTTCTTATTATTCCTCCATCTCCGATCCAACTTACACTCCAGAGAAGACCCGCTTACATGATAGCGAACGAAATCCCAAAGCTCTAACGAATCCCGTCTATTTACTAAGTTTCGCGTTAAATTTTTTTGGTCCCACCCTTCTGTGTCCAATATGAAATAATAATTTCAGGTCTTGCAACAACCAAAGTTTGAGAAATATGTCTTTTCAGCAATTGACAACGAATTTTGTTTTATGCAAGAAGCTATTTCACAATAGGATTATCGGACAGTGGATCATACCACCAATAAGTAGAAACCCCGGAGTCGTCCGCTCTCCCACGACTTAATTTACATCCACAACGTAGCCAAGTAATATAAGCATTCACCCACAAGACCAACAGAAATCCTAGTAGCACCTTCGCTCTCTTCCACTTTAGATTCTCAATGACAACTTCTCATTCCAGTCGGTTTTGAAATCTATCCTCTGCGCAATATCCTGCCGGAATATTTAGACAGGGCTTTTAACAAGGCGTAGTACTGTACAATTAGGCGATTTTAGGGCCTGTACGGATGGGCTTTTTTTCTAGAGGCATTACCCTTGTCAGATTGAAGCACTGTTTCTGGGCTTCCTGAGATGAATGATGGGTTTTGATATGATGTATGGGATGATGATTGATTGTATTCATTTATCGATCCTTTTTCTGCTCTACTTGTGTTGCTCGGCTTTTGTTTTTCCGATCCGAGTCCCTCGCGCACTAGCCCTATGCGCGACCAGCTTGCAACATGCTGCAATTTGTTGCGGAATATTGCAAAATGCTGCAAAATGCTGCAACATGCTGCAATTTGCTGCAATTTGCTGCAACTTGCTGCAACATGCTGCAATTTGTTGCAAAATGCTGCAACATGCTGCAATTTGTTGCAAAATGCTGCAACATGCTGCAATTTGTTGCAAAATGCTGCAACATGCAGCAAATTGCAGCAACATACTGTTCGAGCTTATTGCTCGTACTATGTAGCAGCTTTCGTCCAGCGTTCCTCCTGTCTTGACAGTAGGTGCGCATATCTGACAACCCTTCTATAACCCTCTCTAGACGTAGAGCTACTTGCAACACAACTAATATCTACTAGGGATTGCTGCAATTTGCTATAGTTTGCCGTAATTTGCTGTAGTTTACTGCAATTTGCTATAGTTTGCTGCAATTTGCTGCAATTTACTTTATGCATTTCTTAACGCTAGTAGGTAATCTCTTACTAATACCTCTAGGCATTAGCCTATTATATTTAAACAGCAGTTAAAGAAGCTAAACTAGCGGTTGTATAAGCAAAACAGCTTGTTAAGGTATTACTTGTACTACATTAATCTTTGCGGCGATAGAGAGGCAGAGGCAGAGGCAGAGGCAGAGGCAGAGGCAGCGCTAGAGCTCCCTAGCACTCTAAGAAATTCCTGCAGAGTGTAATACGGTAGGCGCCCCGCCTGCCAAGCCGATACTATACGTCTTTCCCTACTGTACTAAAAGGTACGCACGAGAATACTTAAGCTAAGTATTCTCGCATAGTATAATATATATATATAGGTAATGCTAGGGTAAGCACTAGCACTAGCGGTTGTCTCAAGCCTAGCCTAAACCTCTATAAGCAAGAGAAGGCCACGTGGTTGACTATGCCGACCTTGTTACACAGAGGCAACAAACTACACAAGCTGCAGCTGTACAACTAGGGTTTTAATGCTTAAACAATTAAATTAAAGATATTAGTTAGCAGTATTAAGCATGGCGTGGCAGTATTAGGCGGTGAAAGGAACAGGCGCAACGTGTAACAAGGTAGACAAAGTTAACTACATGGCCTTCTCTTGCTTATAGAGGTTTAGACTAGACTAGAGACAACTGCTAGTGCTAGTGCTAGCCCTAGCATTATCTATATATATATTATACTATGCGAGAATACTTAGCTTAAGTATTCTTGTGCGTACCTTTTAGTACAGTAGAGAAAGTTGTATAGTATTAGCTTAGCAGGCGGGGCGTCTACCTTATTACACAACGCTAGAGACTGTAAGGCGCAAAGAAGAGGATGTAAGAGGTATTAAGCAGGAAACACAGGTCACAGAGAGGGAATGCAGGATAGGGGGGTAACAAGAGAGAGTAAACCTTAGGGTTGGAGGCAGAGGTACAGAGGTTGAGGAGCCTATTGTTACAATCCTTGCTCCGACGAAATGGGTTTTTCGGGAGCACTACGGCCTATTGTGTTGTTAGAGAGGAAGGGGAAGAACTTAGCTGGATCGGGTGTACAGTCCGTTGAGCAGAGTGTGGGTGAGGCGGAGGTGGAGAAGGCAGGTTGTGGTTTGGCCCAGCGGCTGTATAGGGAGCTGGCAAACCTAATCTAAGAGGATAAGAAAGGAGGTATATATAGTGCAAGATATACAAGGCAGCAATGTCCTTTATTATAAAAAGTTTAATGCCTCTTAGTCTATTAAGTAGGTAAAGACTAAATAGTAATCACAGCCTTCTAACTATAGTCATAATCTAAACTATATACATGGGGTTTGCATGCTGTGCATGCTTGCATGCTTGCTGTCTGCATAGCCTGCATAGCCTGCAAGCCTGTAAAGCTTGCTAACTTATTAGACAATGCATTCTATTAAGCTTTTGTCTAAAAGCTAGAGCTATTTCTTATCTGTCCTATCACGTGATTTGTTTAGCACAAGGTTAAGTATCTTCTATCTGACGTCGCCTAGGCTGTGGGGGACAGCTAATTAGGTTATTATAGTCTATCTGTTAGCTGTAACACGCAGGCTTTCCTCCTAGTTAGCGTCCTTGCTGTTACAGTGTTCCTGCTGCAAACGTTAGGTTTTCTTTTTAGCTAGTGCATGCCCTTCTTTAAAACCTTGCTAGATGTCTAATTTTTCTAACTATGCCTTGTTAGGCTTCTTATTTCTTTGCTACTGCTTATTGTCTTTGCACTATTACATATCTTAATCCTCTCTGCTGTACAAAAATGCGTCCTTATAGTGCTTATTACTTAAGCAGTTCCTCTTACATAATGTTCTTATTATTAAACAAGTGCGTAGAGTGTGTGTAAAAGAGGGGTTGTTATAACACTTTTATGTCTAACATAGCTTAGAATTATTTAGAGCAGAAGCGTAAGAAGCTGTTAGCAGAATTAGAGGCAATCTAGGAGAATAAGATGCGCAAAAAGGAAAAAGAGGTGTAAATAAAAAAAAAGTTGCTAAAATGTTTTTAGTTAATTATTTTTTATTAGAAAAAGGCTTATAAACAGTTAAAGGTAACGTACTTCATGGGCGAGTTGCTCACACACCCGAGTCGCTCACTTTTGCCAAGACCCCACCCTAACAAACTCTATTATAGCCCATAACAACCCGCTCTAGCACTATATAGTACAGTACAGCCTAGAATATTATTTAGATACTACTTCTGCTTCTTACTTACATGTTTGCGTGTTATGCCTAGTCTAATTGCACTATCTGCAGCGCCTTTAGAATAGCTTACCTACTTTAGCTTACACCTGCTTCTTTACCTTCTTCCTATTACTGTGCGCTTTAAACTTCTTTAGAGCTGTTAAGCACAGGCCTTTCTAAATTATTAAGGTCTTTTTTACCTTAATTTACTTTTTTTTATGCAATTTATATTACATAGCAGCTTTATTAGCTACTTAAAGCTTAGTAATTTTCTATTGCGCTAACACTAGCTTATGTGTAATTATTACTGCTCTCTTTAAAACCTTTTTAAACACTTTAACTATAAAAGTTAGTAAACTATTTATATACTTCTAAATTTTTATTTTTATAAGCATTAATTATAACCTAAGTTCTAGAGTATTGCTTAGGGTTTATAACTACTAGGGCTTATTATATATAAGTAGTAGTAGTAATAGAGTGCATAACTTTACATTAAGGCTTATTATAACTTATTATAGGTTAAAAGAAACTAATCTAGCGCCTTAAAACCTTTTTTAGATATTACTAAAAGTAATTATAGCATTATAGGCTACTTTAAAGCATAGTAGAAACTTTATTTTTATAATATATATAATCTAGTTACACATAAGGTTTTTTGCTTAGCGCTTATATACCTTTTTTAAAGAAGTAAAACAACCTACATTAAGTAGCTATAAAAAGTGTAATAAGTAAAAAAGCATGTAAATAGTAATAATCTTATTATCTTTATAATATTACTAGAAATAAAGTAAGTTATAGCTTTTATAGCTATTAATAACTAGTAGATAGTAGCTGCTAATAGTATACTTTTTTATATGCATATTAAAGTGCTTTAACTAGTCTAGACTAAGCTAATTAGTAGTCTAGCTGCGCTTAGAGATTATAATAACCTAATTCTAAAGTAGATTTTTCTTTTTATACTAGTTTAAAAGGTAGTTACTACCCTAAAAAATAATAAAAGGCAGAATAGCCTACCTTTTAGCATTAATGCCTTAGATAGCTGTTGTCTACTCCTAGTTGCCTAGCTAGACTACTTTTAGCTATTCTTATCTCTTTAAACTTATAATAACTGCTCTTGTAGATATTTAGCCTATTATAAACTTTATCTTGTTAAATTATACATGTTATTATTTTAGATGCTATACTTAGCTTTAATATTCTTTATAAAGTTAAACTAGCTTTAAATTACTATAGGAATTTTATAAAAAGCTTTTTTATAGTTATACTTACACTTAAACTTTACTTTAAGCTTTAAGTAACACTTAATAAACATATTAAGCTAGTTTATGCTAATATAGCCTATATTATGCTTAGCGCGTAAAGAATTAGCTATATTAGCTATAGCTGCTAGCTAGGGGGGAAATCCTTGCGCATCTAGCTTAAGTATGTGCTAAATAATTACCTGCTTCTTATTATTATCTAGCTTTTATAAGTTAGCTATATAATTAGCTTAGAAAAGTTATTTAGTGTGTTAGTTACTTATTATCTTTTAAAAGACTTTGTAGATAGCTGTAGCGTGTTAGTTA